AAGATTAGGGTTTTTTAGAGTTTTCCTTGGCTTGCCTCTTTTTGTGAGATTGAATATGAACCATTGATCTTTGGTGACTTGTGGGATGAGAGATTTGAGTCATCCATTTCATATATGGGACATCAACATTATTGAAGGTAGATGAACTGTTAAACCATTTTTCCATAAATAAAAATTAAATAAATTAAATCTAAACAAAATATTGTGCATACCATAAAATAGCATAAGTCTGCTCAATCTTTCCACAAAATCTCTCAAAGCATATGGCCATATGCCATATCACTAAAAAATAGGAAAGAGAATAAACGGGGGGGGCTGCCACCCAAGGGAGGCACTCATGGGCTCCATTCTAGAAATATGTTGTAATAATCAATATCTTTAATTTTATAAATCTAAAAATTATAAATAAAATATCCAAAAGTTCATAAAAATTCAAATAATAATTCTAAAATATTTTTCATCATAAAACAAACACAATTAAATTAATGTGATGAAAAAATGATCCATATGGTTCAGGAATCGAATCAACAATCATGAGGCACTTCACCTTCAGCTGTCGACTACAGACCATACTTGTTTTATCAGACCGACCCAGTGTTTCCCACGATCTACAGTCGAATTAGAAGATCATTAGCGGATCACCAAAGTCTGGTCGATGAGCCAAAGGGTCGCAATCCCAGTCTGTGGATTTTGGGTCCTACTCTGGAGACGAGTCAATGCCACTTATATCTAATGTGACTACAGCTCTTATGGTGCATAGGGGTATCTCTCGCACATGCATACACTTCACCCTGAATGTGGATTACATGCTTTTCCGAACGATCTATCAATATGCATGTCGTGCGATGGCACATAGATGAGGCTTTGGGCCTCGCCTCTGTAGGCCACCATCACACACAAGGGTCACATAGTCTATCGACTCACTCATCTAGGCATATTCTCCGACCTCATCAAGGGATGACCTATTAGATCCCTTCTCAGTTTGTTCTCTATGCTCAGGTAACATGATCTTTTCCCAACTGACTGGCATAGATCGTCAAGCACAGTTCGGTATCAGTAAACATCACTTGCTTAGTATAGTCTACGAGGGACCACACTCATACTGAGTTCATGTTCTACTATATCATTTAATTTTACAAAAACTCATAAAGTATTTAAAGGTCACATAAACCCAATAGATAGTGTATCTTGTAACACATTATCTAGATTGTCTATTTTCAAGTGTTTACATATTCACAATATCTATAACATTTTTGCATGTGCAAATTTTATAGGCAGGGATTGAATTAGATTTTCAAGCCACCGTAGGGGTTTTCCATGATGAAAATGGTTTTTGGATAAGGTTTTAAAGTGACGCTTTACTTTATCTGCAACTTATCGAAATCACATTCAATGAAAAAATTTTATAAGAAAATTGATCAAACTACCAATTAGAAATGAAGTATTAACATTTTGCCATTACTAAATTTAAATAGGTTAGGCTGGGCCGGTTTGAGCAGGTTTGAATAATATTTCGACCCTCCTAGTTGTGGAGCATTTAAAAAATACTCCAACATTTCCCCATCCTAGAGTTGGACCCATCTACAACTAACAACAAAAACAAGAGAGACTTGGGTCATTATGACATACCCTATACCTAAAATTCCCAATTTTAGCATTTTGATAAGGGTGCGGTTTGTATAGAGCCGAGGCCCACATTCAAGAAATGTAGTTTCAATATTATAACTTTTTTATTAGCCTTAAAATATGTTTTTAAAACGAGGCTATCTATGAAAATTTGAATAACTTAAAAATTGATGGTCCAAAAGTGAGTTACAAGATGTACTATTTTCAAAACTTGAAATCTCTTTTTGTTTTTTTTCTGAAGTCCATGCATCTTGATATTGAGATGATCAATTTGAGGATTTTTGGGCATTAAAACAACTTCTTCTATTGAAAAATTTAAGATAGACTCTAATTTGATTTTTTAAAGCCTTGGCTCTATATAAACTTCTCCAATACGGTTTCTATGAGTCCAAATGAGTCATTTCTTAAAAATTTATTTTTTAGACGGATTTTTTAACTTAATTTTTAAGAGGGAAAATATATGATGATACCATTTACATTTAGTATAAGGTGGTCACAATTAATCTTGACTATTGGATGTGAAATTGGGTGACTGTATTTATTTCATTGACCAAGCTTAAAGTTTTTGAAGAAAAAAATTGAACTTTGTGATACATCTAGGCTATCAAATTTCACATCTAATGGTTATAAGTAGTTGTGACCTCTCAGTACAAAAAGTAAATGCTCTCATTGTATACAAATTTTTTTTTAAGGACGTAATCTATAACATAGAGATCATGAATATAATAAATTAAATAAATTTAAAAAATTAAAAGTAATAACTGTATTGATAAAACATTTGGACCATTCATTTCAATTATTTTTAGATAGACCACCTATTTTTGTCCATGTTTACTATTGATGTTTTATACCTCAAGATTGCAAATATAGAAGTGCAATCCCCTGTGCAAGAAACAATTTTCCTTTTGATAATTCCTATATTGATTTGAGTTGGATCCTCTATTTTTTAATATGTTTAAATCCCTGCTCATTTGAATCAAAAGAAGTAACTTTATCTATAAGACCATTTATTGTTTAGTAAAGAGGTCACAACCTCTTTTAGTCGGAAACAAAGTTTAAGAGACTTTTTTTTGGATTTGATCGGGTTAATTTAACAGTTAAGAGAGATTGTGACTATCTTGTATAAAATATATTTTTTATTAAAATAATTATCCTATAAAACTTTTTCTTATTCATATGTGTATGACTTTAAAAAATCATCATTAAAGTTAACATGAGTCTCCAAAAAATTGTCACACGGGATGTGAGACTTGGCTTTTTCATTAATAGTGAGAAGGTCAAATACTACCATTTCTTTTCGTTTTCTTTTTGCCAAAAGAAACATCCTCAAAGGGGAAAAATAAAAATAAATATAAATCAAACATATAATGGAAATTGTTCTATTATGACAGGCCTTTCTCGTAACCAAGAAACTGCCAAGAAGCAGCTTGGTCGTCTATAACCCGGGTTTTACCCCTCGAATGGTGCGTTGTCGGGTTCTCAACATCCAACAGACTCGATGACCGCCACGTGTCAAAGCCCGCAGCCATCAAATGTGCACCGTCCAACTGGATATCATTGAGGCGAGATAAGGATGCGATTCCCAAGGCGAGAAAGGCCACGGAAAGCCAGATTCTCCAAAGGAGAGTACACCAGCCGTCCGATCCTGCAGAAACGGACGGCTGAGAGTCTCCGTACGGGGAAGAGCTTTTATGTCACGTGTTGGGCGTAAACTTCGAGAAAGTCGTCAACGTCAAAGGGGCGTCAAATCGGGGTTTAAGTAGGACGAAATTTCGGGCACAGGCGATATTTCGTGGGAATTTCGGAAACTGACAAAAAAGGGCAAGATCGTTTGATTAAAGAAAAAGCTAGACGACAAAAAAGGCGAAAAATGTGTGAGAGAGGAAAGGTGGCTAGTTGTTAGTTTAGACTAGGGCTTATCTAAAATTTTCTCTCTCTACCACGTGGTCACTTTCTCTCTCTAAATGCTAAAGCTCCATCTCTGGTTCTGGAAATGTTAATACTTTGTCTCTCCAGCACGCTAAGCCCCTGAACCAAACATTCACATGTGTGATTTGGCGATGAGAACTCTTCTAATGTCCGAAAAGGGACACCAATGCATCCGATACACGTTTTAACTTCCATTCCCATTGGTCACAAATTTTAAAATTAAAACCTGAAATTTTTAATTTAATAGGAATCGGTTTGGACCGAATCGGTTACGACATGGGATGCCTCTCGACCCGACTCTGCCTAAAACCTCATTTTTTAAATTGTATTTTTGTGAGCTGATATTATTTTATATCCCTTTGAAATTCTGAAAGATAAACTTGATTATTGTTTTATTTATATTTTAATATTTTTAACATTGTCAATTTAAACCGAACAATAGCAACAAGTGATCCAACATAGATATGCGGGTGAAGGATGCATCCCATCAATAGCGATCCAGTGATCCAACATAGGTCTGTGGATGAACGATGCGCCCTATCAATCCGAATTTTGAAACTATGGAAGTGAGAGTACTTAGCTAACTAACATTTGTCAAACCGACCCGTCATTGGCCCGAAAGGGACTAAATTGAGTCAAAACCAGTCCGCAATTGAATGAGTTGTGCTGATTTTTGAAAAATAAATAAAAATATAAATAATTGTTTGAAAATATGATATGTACTATAAAATCTTGAAAAAAGTTTGTGCAAGGTTAACCTTATATTGTTAATGAAAGGTACATCTCAAAAATCCTATAGTGGAGAGTGTTTCTACATAGGAGAACCCTCAAACTAATCATCTCAACCTTGAGATGAATGGACATGAAGAAAAAAAAAGAGTTCTAAGTTCAAAAAATAATACCTATTGTAAAAAGTCATCTAAACCGTCTGTTTTCAAGATTTTCAAATGTTTATTGATATGCTCGATCAGTACCATTTTGTTATTTTAAAATTTCTAACTTGAGACAAAAAGAGATTTGAAGCCATCATAAAATTTTTGATGCCCAAACCACATCTCTATGTAAATTTTATAGGTGCACCTGACTTCTACAGTATAAGGAGGCAACCTTATACAAACCCCACCTTAAATCTTTTACAATTTTGGGAACCATTTTTTATGTGGCCAAAGCCTGTATATGTATAAATGCGGGCCTAATAATAAATCTATTTTTTAGATGGATTTTTTGAGTTAATTTTTAAGAACATGTAATCGCTAACGAAATATAGGGTTCTTTCCGTTATTCCCCTAAATACCCCTAAAAAGAATATATACCATCAGTAGTGACTTGGCGATTCTAGCCACGTGGACGCCACGTGTACGGAACTTAATGGAGCTATCGTAAAGGTACGGCTTTGAATAGTTTAAATATCCGGGTAAGGGACAAGAGAGTCCACAGGTTCGTAACTGAAACCTAAAAAAGGGTAAAACCCTAATTTCCTCTGCAGGTTTTCGGCGTGATTAACAAACCCTCCTTCGATTTTCTGTCTGTCTGCAATTTCTGTCATGATTCCGGCCATGTCCTGGTTTTTCCGGCGTTTCCCTGTTATTTCCGGTGGCTATCCGGTTGGTTTCTCTCCCTCCTCTGAAATGCGTCATGTAATGTTTGTGGCTTTGTCGTCATTTTAACTTCGTATTTATGAGGAATAGCTAGCATTTCCGGTCCTTGTTTACTTTCCGGCCATTTTCCCATTTTTCCGGTGAGATTACATCCGGGCTTCTTCATTTTCTTTTTTCTTGGGTCCAAGCTTTTGTACGAGCTTCTCTGGTGTGATTCGAGCTATCATTCGTCTTGTTGTTTTGTTTTCCGGCGAGATACTTGTACTTTCGGCCATTACTAAGATAGGCATTGAAGTTCATGGCGGACGGATTCTTGTCTACTCATCTTCTCAAGCCTGAGTGAATCTTATGTATAGCCTAGTAGACGTTCCATTTCTGGTAAAATATAGCGACTACCGTCTTTTTTGCAACATTTTTGGTTGTTAGCTATTTTCAGGTGAAAATTTCAGCCATCTCAATTGGCAATATATTTATTTAACCTCATTTATCCTGTTCAAAAATAACCTACAGCTCTTCTCTATCTTTTCCTTGCAAGATTTTGGCTTTTCCACATTTTCTGGCTAGATTCCGGCTGTCATCCAAATTTTCCGGCGAGCTCCTTATTTTTCAAGTGATTATAGGGTGAGCCAACTACTCGTTATCCTTCTTATGTAATAGGGGACATATCTGTTATTACATTTTATAGTTTCCATTTTCTGGTGATATTTACCCTACCAGCGGACTTATCTTGATTCTGGAGACCTTTCTTTTAGATTCGCAGCTTTATTTTTTTCGAAACCTGATCTTGTTTATTCACCTTGTTACCATGATCCTTCTTCCTTCTTTATTCTTGTGATCTTTTATTTTCTCTTTACGGAAATCGTATTCGCAGAATTTCAGTGAAGGTTTGTTTGCGAACTTTTTTTTCCTGCCAAAGGTTCTCAGTGGCGCTTTTTGTGCAATGATGATGGCTTCCGCTTTTATAGACAGCATCGGGAAAATGCCCTCTGAGAATTTCCCTGCTTACCCTTCCTATGGCTGGCTAAGTCCAAGGATCTCTTTCAGCCGTGACTTTGTCGATGATGGCCTGAAAATAGCGGGAGATTCACCAAAAAACTCACCAGAATATGTTTCAGAGGAGCTGGAAAATGAGATTTGTAGCCAAGATTTTGAGTTTTGCCTTGAAGATCCGGTGACCATGTTGCCTGCTGATGAGCTCTTCTCAGATGGCAAGCTTGTTCCTCTCCAAATGAATAATAATCCAGTGAAAAATGTAGCTTCCACTGCTGTAGAAAGGCATAGAGAAACTCTATCCCTAGACCTCTCTGGCACTGATTCATGCATTCTTTCTCCCAAGGCTCCAAGATGTTCTAGCAGGTGGAAAGAACTATTGGGGCTTCGGAAGGCCTCTCAGCAACACCCCAAACCAGAGAATATACAGAAGAATTACTCCATAAAAACTCTAACTAACCCCAAATCTTCATTAAAGCAGCTTCTCAGAGGCTCTGGAGAATCAAATCCTAAGTCTTCGGCGGATGCATCAATGAGCTTGCCTTTACTCAGGGAGGTGGACTCAGAGTCTGTTTCACACTCTTCTCGATTCTCACTTTCTTCGAATACCTCTGATCAAGAGGATTTGCCGAGGTTTTCTTTCGATTCAGATAAGCCAAATTCCAACATTCTCAATAGAATCCCACCTAAAGTAAAAGCTGTTAAGCTCCGACGTGTTGAAAAACTGGACAATCAAAGGGGAGGAGGAGGCTCTGATACCTCGAAGCTATCAGAAAACCAGAGGGCAAGAGTTGGTAGGAGCCCATTAAGGAGATCTGCTGATCAAGGTGCCCCAATAAGAGGTGTTTCAGTGGATAGCCCAAGAATGAATTCTTCAGGGAAAATTGTGTTTCAGGGCTTAGAGAGAAGTTCGAGCAGCCCCAGTAGCTTCAATGGGAAGGATTACTATTATGGTAATTACAGGTTGAAGGACAACTTTAGGGGAATGGAGAGGTCTTACTCTGCAAATGTTAGGGTTAGGGTTTCCCCCGTTTTGAATGTCCCTGTTTGTTCACGTAGGTCTTCTTCGAAGCAGGGGTGTAGCTCATCAAAGGGTAACATATTTGGGCTTAGTCATAAGCTTTTCTCACCCCAAAAGAAGGATATTTCTTCGAGAACTAACAAAGGACGTAACGACAGCAAATCAGGGGTTTCTTCGTGAGGAAATGGAGGGATTTTTTGAAGAAAGAAGAGGTAGTTTTGAAGATATTTGCGGTTTATTTGAGCGGGGTACGGTTTTTAACCTTTTTCTTTTCTTTCTTTGGTTTAATTGCTGTTCTTCATCATACTTGTGAATGTACATATTGGTTGCAAGTTGAGGTTTTTGTGAAAAAATCTGATGTCTTTTTTCGTAGTTTCGCCAATGGGATTTTTATTGGAGGCTGGAAATTAACGTTGAGTATGGGGAGACCAATGAGGTATATGGACTTTTGGGTTTATCTGTTTCAATGAAGTGGGTATGTACACACATTGGCCTCTAATGATTTGCAACAGTATTGAACAAATTGGCGTGTGAATTATACACACATGTTGTATAATTTATGTTCTCTATTACTTGAATTGGTGTTAATTGGCTATTGTTTCAATAGGAAACACCACCAGCCTAGAAACCAAATATTCAATTTGATCTGGTATCTTACAAATTTTGGAGCATATATATGGGGATGGGTCACTTTTTCGCTTTGCGACTTTGCTTTTGTGAACCATGCTTAGTTTTAGGAAACTGTGACTGGTCTGTTTTTTGTAAACCATGCTTAGATTTTTTTTTTCTCAATGCTCTGTTCTATTTTTTTTTTACTTTTTATTTTTTTGGTCAAGGCCTGTAGCATATGAGGCCATTTTGGGTTTTTGTGCCAACTGGATCTGTTATTACATGATCGGTTTAGCCTTGTATTTTTTTTGAAATGAGTGCTTATTTTGTATTGGCTATATTGGGAAATGATGAACCATTTGAAAATAATCCGAGGCATTTTGCCATGTGCTTATGCCCTTGTTGAATTATTGCACGTCAGTCTGATCCCACGTATTTTAATGTACTTCTACTACTGCTGCTTCTACTAATACAACTACTACTACACTATTACAATTAACACTAGTGTGTGTGGTGGTGGTGGAGATTATGATAAATAATAATAGTATTTGAGTAATTGTTGCACCACTACTACCACTAATGCTACCATAATATCATTGATGATGATGGCGGTGTTGGTGATGATAATGGTGAATTGTAGCATTTTGCCTTGATCCATTATAACCCCAAAAATAAGGATGATTGTGGTAGGAGTCCTGCCATTATTACCCGAGTTAAAAAAAAAGATGGGCACTTTGACTTGAAACCAGCCGAGTGGAACCGGAACTTGCAGGTACCCTGACCGATTTTCTCTTCTCCCCAAATCGGGACTTGGCCTATTGCTCCCATAAATCATTAGAAAAAAGTTATTTATTATAAAACTGTAAGTTTATGGAATGAGTTGAAGTTCCTATTCCTTTTTTAAACATTTTAAACTTCTTAAATTTTATTTACGTTTATTTTATTTACAATTTAGTAGGTTTAGATCGGAACCGGCCAGTGGCCGGTTTTGGTGATCGACTGGTATTTAAATTTTTTTCAAAAAAATATACATAAATTTCAAAAAATAAGGGAATTTTTTTTGTAATGTATTTTTTAATATTGTTTACATTATGGTAAAGATTAAAAATTTCTTTCGTCTTTAATGCTCACTTTAATTTCAAAAATTGATTTTTTTAAAATTGATTTTTTCATTAATTTTCAATTTCATTTGGATGTGTTTTGTTTTAATTATTCTTTATATACTTTTAATATTTTAGTAGATTCTTTTTTTGTATCTTTTTTATTTTTGCAACACTTTTTTGACCGGTAAGGACTTGTCCAGTTAGAACGGTTGAATCGGCCGGTTTACTTGTTAGGCCAGATAAACCGCTTCCGGGCTTATGTCCGGTTAACCGTTCCGATTCGATTTTGGGAAAAATGGTTTAAACAGACTATTTATATCATTATTTGCACCGATAGCCTTGCACAGATTACCATATGCTTTTTATTGACTTTTGTTTTGAATTGGAGCTGTGTTAGGGTCTTTTTGTTTGTTAGGTAGAGTTACCATGTACTGTGTTTGTAGAATGGTCAGTTTATGATGGGATTCCCATCGTGAGTCTTCAACAGCATCATCATAAGCCTCAGTTATTCTAGCTATCTTGTCCTCATGCCTTTCATTGCCCACTGTTTTACAGGAGGCCTCTGGCTAAGCTTAGCTGACACTGTCCACTCTCTTAATGGTTAATAGTGTCCTCTTTTTTGTCTCTATGCCCCGAAAGCACTGTATTCATGGATTCACTTTATAACTGTAGGCATGTACCTTCAGGTACATATATGTATTCGACTGTAGCCATGTAATCGTAGGCACTTACGTTTTAGCTGCACGAGTATTTTACTGAGTTTAACTACACTTCTAGAACTGTAGTTTTATACTTCGCTTTTTATCTAGCCATGTTTCGAAATGCTTCTAACACTCGGCAAGTCTGACTCGGATTCGCGGCCTACCAAGTCCAAAAGCAAGACCATGGGAACTGGTCAATTCCTGCTGCTCTCTTATGTAATTGTAAATTATTTTCTAGGTCTGGTTTGAGTCTCTCTAACTAATTTGGCCAGTTGAGTTGCGGGCGAGTCGCTTTGCTGAGCCGAAAACATGGCTTATATGTATGAATTTCTAGGTGTAGATCTACATATAGTTTCTTTCCCCCAAAACCTTGTACCTGTAGATGGTCATACATGCATTTTGATGTATATCTCACGGTTAAGGCAATATAACCATCTGTGCTTTTACTTATTTCCCTTGAGAATTATCCATCCTTGTACTTTTTCTGGCTTTAGATTCAGCCGAGTTGGATCGCTGACTTAGGCTTTGGGCCCTAGCGATTTGAGCCTGAGTCATTGTTTTCAAACATTGGGTCTGCATATGAAATTGGAATCCTGTGATAAGCAGTCCCGGCTCACTAGTGAGAAATTCATTTCCTCCATTTGGACTGGAGTTTTGAAACGCAGTGATCTAGAATCGGGAGCCATTGTTCTGGATAGGATATGGATGGGCCATCTATGTATGCAATTTTTTCTTTCTGGTTATTTTTAAATCTAATATTCACCAATTCTGCCGATACCGATTACGAGCTGATCTGGATTGATACAGTGAGTGGGTGATCCAAAATCCAATTCTGGGTTTTAAAACGTGATCTTAACCATCATCCATGGGAATATACAAGAAATAGTTTTGAATCTAATGCTTATTGACGGTCGAGTGCTGATGAATTTATGGTCAGTTCTCAACATTATTCATAAGCTACAATAATCGTGGCTTCCCTGTCTTCGTGGTCTGTCTATTACTACTAAGAGTGGATATGTGACATTGGAGCATACACTTGCATGATGTCTTTTTGTATCTTTTCGTAGCTGGAATTGTTTGGGTTGCACATGTTTTGTTTTGGTTTGGGATCTATTTTCTGCAAAATTTTACCAAAGATAATACTTGTTTTAATCCAATTTTTTTGTTTCTCTCTTCCACTTTAGATTCCAATCTCTCTCCTATTCTCCTTCAGCATCAATAGTTTCAAGTATTCTCTGTTTTTATGCCCTCTCTGGGCCTAGCTTCCCCTCTCTCGCATTTTGTATTTTTCTAGCCCCATCTTGCCTTTCTGCTCTCTGGCGTCAGCAGTTCCAATCATTCTCTCTTTTATTTCCTTCATCTTCTCCCTCTCTGGCCCTATCTTGCCTCTGTGTGTCACATTTTTCTCTCTCTAGCCCTAGCTTCCCTCTTTCTCTCACTAGTTCCCCCTCTCTCTAGTCTTAGCCTCCATCACTCGTGGTTTCTTATTCCATGGGGTGATGAATCTCTACTTCCTCCTCTCTCTCATGATTTCTCATTCGTTGGATTAATGATTTTAAAAAATGGATTAGTAACTTGGATTGGGCACTTCAATAACCATTGGATCGGTAAATTGGTGGTTTAGATAGTTATTTTAATGAGTGGAAAAAATTGTGGCTTGGCAAAAAACATGTAAAAAAATATTCGATCGGCAAAAAACTGTCTTGATTGGTGAATCGACAGTGTGGATATTTGTTTTACTGTAAAGAATTGCAGTTTTTTTTGTTTTGTAGAATTGTTGGTTCTTTTCTATATTCAACCGTTTTTTTATATATACGTAAAATTAGAACGGGATGACCGATTATCGGGTCGGACTGGACGATTTCGTATCAACTTGTTATTTTTTAAGTCATTGGTTTGGTTGTATGGACTCCAACTACCACATCTCTCTCTTGTCTTGGGTTGGTACAGTCAGAGTTTGAATCTCATATTAGAAAACATTGTTTGTACCAAAAAACGTCGGGTAAGTACGGAATTGTTCGGTCTGACTTGAGAATCGGTCATTTATTCTAGTTTTGTGTATATATAGGAAAATGGTCGAGTCTAGAAGGGAATTAATAGTTCTGCATAACAAAATAGTGATTCAACTCTTGATTCATTAATGGTTTTTGGCTGCTACACTATTTTTTCATGTATTTTTTTATTAGTTACAGTTTTTTTGCCTAGTAAAACAGCTATCTGGATCGTTGAATCACCAATTTGAATTGGTTTTTGGTTTGTACACTATTTTTTTTATGTATATTTTCACCATTTCATTGTTTTCCTCTCGCGAAATGGCTCTATGGACCGTTGAATCATCAATTTGAACTGGTTTTTATAGTACCTGATCCATTTTTTAAGTAATTGATCTAACCCACCGATTTGGACTAGTGCCCTGGCTAACCGATCCATTTTTTAAATCACTAATCCCTTCTTTTCTTAGTGAAGCTAGAGTTAGGGTTTGAATCTTATGTATGAAGCTAACCGATCCATTTTTTAAATCACTAATTCCTTCTTTTTCTAGTGAAGTTAGAGTCGGGGTTTAAATCTTTTGTCTGAATTGAGTATTTTTCAAGATTGGTTTCAGCTGGTGTGGAATCTCAGCATTACCCTATACCCCATATTAAATGTTCCCCAAGTAGTAACTCCATTTGTGTTGTTAATCACTGGGTTTTCTAAACCTCTAAGATATGTGAGCCAGGCTGTCCACCATAGAGTTTGTCGGGTAGTTGTACAGTGACTCTCTCTCTTTCTCTCTCTTCTGAGTGTGCGATTCCTCTCTCGAAGCTACCAAACGCTGCTGCGAGTTTTGGAACCGCATGTCCACGTTACCCTTCGTCTTGCGACCGTTTTCCTCTCCTCTCTCTCTCTCTCTCTTCGCTGGCGATAAATTCGAGTCTGGAGACTACCCAGATTCCTAGGAAAATAGTTTGAGAAAGCAATTTTTTCGTTGAAAATTGCGTAATGCTAGCCACGTATATTTGTCGACATTTGGAAGAGAAAATTACTGTAATCCCGTCTTGGAATTTATCTATGGGAGTCGCCCATTTTTTAATTTAAGAGACGAGAATGATTAATATAAGGAGAAAGAGTATAGAATGGGATCAGTTGATACAACGTGGTTACATTAATCTTGATCATTGGTTGTGGTTACATTAATCTTGATCATTGGTTGTGACATTGGGTGGCCGTAATTATTCTATTGATCAAGTTTGAACCTTAAAAGAAGTTTTTTTGAATTATGTGATACATCCAAATTATCAAATTTTTTGTTGTATACAATCCCTGTAAGGGATAGTATAACGAGACCATCTAGGTTTGATAAATAATGAATATAGATAAAATCTGAACTATCATATTTTCATAGGGTGGTTTAAAATATATATTTAATCTGAATTTTAGTCTTTGTTTAAAAAATTGGATTTTTAATCAATTTTGGGCATATTGGTACTTCTCAACTTGCTAACTAACTTACGGCAGATTCAAGTCCGGTCTTTAATTTGGTCATGTCATGTTGTTCATGTTCTCTCTGTAGATGGTATTGTCCATGTTCCTTCTCTCTCTAGAGAGACTACCGATTCTTTGATGTTAGAGATATGTTGGGCACTCTTTTAAGTGGGGTTGTTTCATCTAGATATTAGGGCTGCCACCGAGCTGGCCTGGGCTCGGTGAAAGTACCAAACTGCTTTGGTCTGGTCCAAAAACCCCACTAGAAAGCCCATACCGACCGGACCAAGTATGCCGTATTAAAACCCGGACTGGCCTGAAAGAATCTACTGGGCTGGAATTGGGTCCAGCTGATTAAGAAGGCTCTTTTTCTTATTTTTAGTCTTTTCAGACTTTTTTTTTGGTTGTAAGCCAAAAAAACATATGCTAAAATATCTTTTACTAAAAAAAAAGAAATGTTAATATCTTTTAGAAAATTTAATATTTTAATATAATTTGTGGTATATATAATAAAAAGAGATGTTTGTTTTGAAATTGGTTTGTGGAGGGAATGGGTTTTTAGAGAGAGAGATTGGGTTTTTAGATAGGGAGCATTGGTTTTGGGTTTTTAGAGAGAAAATGAGAGATAGGATTTCTAGAGTGAAAATGGATTTCAAATTTTTTTAAAAGTATTTTTACATCTTTTTATTTTTATTTTTAGTTTTTTTTAATTACTACAAAGAAGAAGATTTATTTATTTTTTAAAAAATGTGCTTCAAGGCTGGGGTTTTGTTTGGGATGGGTCTTTATCTGGCTAGGCCAGAATATTTTGGACTTGCAGGCTAGTCTGGCCTGATGGCAAGTTTTCAGGCTTTTCCTGGTCATTTCGGGATGTTCGGTCTGACCAATAATGCTGCATTTATGTGGCCCAGCTCGACATGCAACTGACCAGGTTTAAGCCTGAGAGCCGCCAAGAATCGTGCCCCGGATCGGAAGCCCAAGGCCCGTCCTTGACCATTGGCAGCCCTGCTAGATGTGGACCTCTCTCTTTCTGTCCGAGTCCACATCCGGTGGTTCCTTTCTCATTTGCGGTGGGGTTGCTCTCTGTCTGTATGTTCTCTCTAGATTTGATGCAAGATGGGGTTTCTCTTAGTGATTTTGGAGTTGTCCGCTATTTTGGGGTTGTTTTGTCCGTTCACTGTAGATTTGAAAGTGAGAGGGCTTCGTTTCTTCTGTTCAGTGTTGATTTGAAAGTGACAGGGCTTCGGTTTTTCTGTTCACTGTTGATTTGAAAGTGAGAGGGCTTCTCACATGGTCCCCAGGGGATCATTGTGATTTAAACCCATTGTCTTTTTGTTGCCATATTTGGCTTATCCAGGCCTGGTCTATTTACTCATTTTGTTGTCATGTCTAAATGCGGAAATCATGGGGACCTGCATCCTTAGTCTTTATTTTTCTTGTTCGATTGATTTTACAGCTCTTGCTCCCCTGACCACTCTCACCACTTTTTTATTACTCTCAGCAGCCACTATATCCTTGCAATGAGAGAGAGAGTCAGATTTATGCGAGGGTAAAAAGAGAGAGAGGGAGGGAGGGAGGGAGGGAGAGAGCGATATCAAGATTCACATCTCTTAAACTCTTCTACATGTAGGATCTTAAAGAATCACCATTAAATTTGTCACAAATCTTTAGAAAAGTCAGGTCTCATGTTTATGTGATAATTTTTTTAGATATCTATATCAAATTAAATTGTGATCTATTAGGGTCCTACATATATAGGTACGGGAGGGTTTCACAGGATCATTACGGTGATCTTTTGGGGATTTACATATATGGGTGTGGGAGGGTCTCACAAGGTCATTTACCATATAGAGTAATGATCCTATGAGACCCTTCCACACCTATGTGTAGGATCTCAAAGGATCGTCATTAAATTTGACACAGGTCTTTAGAAAAGGCGTAGGACTTGACTTTTCTAAATGTGAGTAATGATTTTATGAGACCCTCCCACACCCATGTGTATAGGATCTCAAATGATCTCTATTAAATTTGGTACAAATCTTTAGAAAAGTTATCACATGGGTGTGGGACTTGATTTTTCTAGAGATCTATGTTAAATTTATTGGTCATCTTTTGGGGTCTTATATGTATGGGTGTGGGAGGCTTTTACAAGGTCATTTCCCAATTTCTGTGTATTACTTTTACCCCAATTTTTATAGGTTGGGCCATTCAAATAAGGGATTTGATCGATCTGGATCGGTATAGTGGGTGGGCGATTTAAAGCCCAATTTCAAGATTTAAAACATAATGTAGAACATATAATGTAGTATTGATTTTATGCAATGGTTGTATAATAATACGATGCAACAACTTTCAAATACTATATTATAGCCATTTGTTTGATCCAAATCTTGAAAGAGGGCATTGATTTCTTAGCTTTCTCTCTCTCTAACATTCTTGCTGTGCAACCCTCTTCGTAAGCTCTTGCTTTCTCTTTTATTCTGGGTGATATTTATCTAAGGCATCAACTTTCAACGATCAAAGTAAGGTGCATGTCAAAACTATATTGAAAGTTGCAGTTTTGGTGCTAGAAAGCCTTGCGATAACACAAACATCTATGGAAAAGTTTTACAAAGAGGCTAGTTACTTTTAATACAAAGAGGTTACAACCATTCTCGTCCATCAAATTGCAAATCAAATAGTTGTAAGTGTACTTGTGACTAAACTCAAAGTCCAACAAAATTTTTTTTGAACTTCGTGACATATGCCAAGCCATCCAATTGGACATATAATGGTTATGATTAATTGTGACGTCTTTTGTATGAAAGATAAATAGTCTCATAGTATACAATCCCAAAATCTATTGACAGCCAAATTATAAAATTTAAAGCGTTAAAGATAGCGTAGATCAAGTAGATCTATAAATAATTAAAATAATTAAATATGGGTGCGGTTTGTATAGAGCTGAGGTTCTATACAATCAAAGTGATACACATCTTTAAATTGTGTTGAGAAATGTGGTTTAAATACTGGAAATCTTATCAAAGCAATTAGCTGGTTCTTTGCTTTGTGCCCTTTTCATGGCGGATCGATTGACGTTTCGCCCTAGCCGTAAAAGTGCAAAGAATAGGACTAACCCAGAGGCGAGCATGTGCTTTGATCCGTTGGTGGTAGATGAACAGGCAATTATTCCTATAGATGACTCTGACGAGGATACAGGGGATTTTGTTATTGACTTGTCGGCGCTGGTGATGGAGGAGGATGGCGTCGAGGTTGATGATGCTGGGTCTTTTGATCCACAGTCTGCTTTGGTGCTTTCTGAGCCTATTGCTCCCCTTGCTACTTTGCCTGAAGTAGCCACATTGTCGGAAGCTATGGGTGGCGGTGCTGAGAATGACAGAGTTGAAAATGCTCTTTATCGGGTGGTTCTTGAAGATATGAGACTTGATTATGATGTCCCTATTGCTAAGGTTTATCAGGCAATCAAAGAAAAAAAAAAGAGTGAAGAAGCGAGCTGCTAAGGAAGTGCAAGCGCCGGGTAAGAACGTTGTGGAGGGTATGGAGGCTAACACTGATTTGAAGGTGCCTGAGGCTGTGATGATTGAAGAGATGCAGTTGCAGGCTACGGATATGGTGTAGAATGAGGCTACCGTCAAGTCTTCAGGCACTGTTCGTCACAAAGGGAAGAAAAAGGTGCTGCTAAAAGTTAAGGAAAAGAAGTCGGCTGCTCCTTCGAGATATTCAAGTAGACTGAAGGCAGGGGCGCATTGGTGATCAGGGAGTTGAATGCTAATGCTCTACTTGTAGTGAGTTTGGAGGAGTCTACTTTTGATGATGATGAATGTGATGCTGTGCTTGATGCGCCTTTTCAGGGGCCTCACGGTGAACGTTCAGGTTCATCTTCTAATAATTTCTGATGATCATTTTGAACTGGAATGTTAGAGGTTTAGGGGATTCTAGTAGGAAAAATGATGTTTTATTTTTTGTTAGGAAGTATAAACCAGATGTCCTTATTTTGCAAGAGACCAAACTTCCCAACCCTTCTGTGATAGGTGCTCGAGAAGTCTGGGGCTCTAGTTCGTTGTGTTTTGAGGGTATTGATTCTGTGGGGGCATCGGGTGGGCTGTGAGTGTTGTGGAATCCTCAGATTCTGCATAGTTTTGAGGTTTTAAAAGGGGATAGGTGGTTAGCTATACTCTTTAATGGTCCTGAGTCTGACTTTTTGTAGGGTCTTTTGAATGTTTATGGTCCAAACAATGTTGCTCTCAAAGCTGGGTTTCTCAATGAGTTATTGGGGGTTTTATCTTAGTTTCGATTTTCCTTTATTGTGGTGGTGATTTTAATTTAATTCGGTAGCTTGAGGATTTTTCCTCAGGAGGCCGGATTAACCGTACTATGAGATTGTTTAATGGTTTTATTCAAAACCATGGCTTGATGGATTTACCTTTGTTAGGAGCTTCTTTTACCTGGACCAATAATAGTTATGGGAATCTTATCATGACGAAAATTGATAGATTTTTTGTTTCTAATAATTTTTTGGAAAGGTTTCCTTTAGCCTCTGTGATAGCTTTGCCTAGATTGTCTTCAGACCATACACCTCATCTTCTTCAGCCCAAATGTTCTCTTAGAGGTCCAAAGCCTTTTATGCTGGAGATTGGCTGGTTGGATGAGATGGGTGTGATGGATCTTATTAGGACTTGGGAGAATGCGATTACTTTTAGCTCTATAGATTTTTGGCTGCACAAAAAATTGTTATATGTGAAGTACAAGCTGATTGAATGGAAGAAGGAAAATAAATATTAATTGGGGACTAAGATTGATAGTCTTTTGGAGGATATTAAAGGGATTGACCAAACTGTACAGATTGGAGGGGTTTACTCTGAGTTACTCGTTAGTGAGAGAATTGGGAAAATTAATACTCTGAATATACTTTGTAGGTCGGAGAAAATTTATTGGCGACAAAGTTCTTGAGTCGAATGGCTGAAAGAGGGCGGTCTGAACACATAATTTTTTCATTCTATTGCCTGTGCACGCAAGCGACAGAATGATCTCTCAGGTCTTACGATTCAAGGAGTAATGCAGGAGGATATTGATAGTCGCAATTTGGCGATAATTGAGCATTTTTGAAAGGCTTTTTCATTGGAAATATGCGCTACCCTTAGATTGGGTTGTATTTCTTTTAAAACTCTTTCAGAGACAGTTGCAGCACAACTTGAAGTTGAGGTCTCAATGGACGAACTGAAATTAGTTGTTTTTTCGTTGGCAGGAGATAAGGCACCTGGACCTGACGGCTTTCCTATGTGTTTTTTCCATAGGTTTTGGTCGATGTTGTTAGGGGAACTTTTATGTATAGTACGAAGTTTTTTGGATAGGGGAGAAATTTTTAGAGGTGTTAACTTTACTTTCATTGCTCTCATTCCAAAAAAATATATTATTAAGGAGTTCTCAAATATCAGACCTATTTTGTTATTATTTAATCTGTATAAAATTGTGACAAAGGTGCTGGCTATACGGTTGAAAAGAGTGCTGAACATTGTTATTTCTGATCCCTAAACAGTTTTTATTCAAAATATATTGATTACTGATAGTGTATTAATTGCTCAAGAATGTATCCACTCCAAGACTCAAAGCAAGGAACCAGGGGTTGTTATTAAACTGGACATGGAAAAGGCGTATGATTGAGTAGAGTGGTGCATTCTCATAGAAATTTTAAAATGCATGGGGTATGGTGAGAAATGGCGTAATTGGATTTATGGATGCCTCTCATCGACACATTTTTTGATTCTTATTGATGGTAGCCCCAAAGGCTTTTTTAAATCCTCTAGAGGTCTTCGTCAAGGAGACCCATTATCGCCATTTTTATTCACCATTTATGCGGAATGTTTTAGCCTGATGATATCTAATGTGGTAAACATGGGCAACTTTATTGGTTTCCAGGTGGGGCAAAATGGTCCTTATATTTTTTATCTACAATATGCATATGATACATTAATTTTCACAGAGACAAAGAAGGAGTAGATTGAATATCTAAGCCGGTTTCTAAGGTGTAGTGAGGTGGCAGTAGGTTTAAAAGCGAACATTGCAAAAACATCAATAGTGGGTGTTGATTGCAATAGTGCACTGATAGAGGAAGTTGCATTGTTGCTTGGATGTAGAGTTGACAAATTTCCCATAATTTATATGGACTCCCAATTTCTGATTCTAAGTTTCCTATTTCAGTATGGGATAGAGTGATTCAACGAGCTCAGACTAAACTGGATCTATGGAAGCAAAAATATTTATTACTAGGGGGAATAGTGACTTTGGTTAAATCTTACTTGTCAAATTTACCTATTTATCAGATGTCTCTGTTGAAGATGCTAGCAGGTATTGTTAAGAAAACTGAAAAGATGATGAGGTGTTTTTTATGGTGGTCTTCTGAAGAGAATAGGAAATATCATTTGTTTAGATGAGATAGAGTGTGTACCCCTAAAAGTGAAGGAGGTCTTGGTATTCGAAGAGTATCTCTAATGAATGAGGCCTTGCTAACGAAGTGGTGGTGGCGGAGTTTGTTGTGTAAGGATCAGCTTTGGTGTAAGGTCCTATTTGCAAAATATGGTAGTGACAGATTTGGAGTGTGGATTAGAGGTGGCAGAAGGAGTGCATCTAGATCTGTTTTTTGATAGCTTTAAAATATATTTCCATCTTTAATTATAAAATTTAACGTTTCAAAAATAGTTTAGATCGAGTAGATTTATGAAAACTTGAAAATTGACGGTCCAAAATGCGTTATAAGATGTATTATTTCTAAACCTTGAAATCCATTTTTTTTTTTCTCATGTCAATGTATCTTGATGTCGAGATGATCAATTTGATGATATCTGGACATCAAAACAACCTCTTCTAGCGAACGTTTTAATGTGGGCTCTAATTTGATTGTTGAGAGCTCAAGCTCTATATAATTTTTTTTAAAATATAAATGGTCTAGATAATGTCACACAAAATACACAACTTTTATAAGGAACAATCTTTTATTCTCTTTTTATCCAGAGGTCACATGATTTGATGGTCTTCTGTATTGATTGCTCTCTCCCTCTTTCTTCTCGCATTCTGTCTCAATATTCAAACTGCTCTTCTCCACTTATATTATCTCTCTAGGAAATTATTACATATTTTTTTAGTGAAATTTAAAGGTAACTTTTCTAAAACAATAAATGAAAAAAGAGAGACATGAAGCTTCAAGATTTCGTTTTTTAAAAGAGGGGCAAGTCAATCCATTTACCCCTCTACAAACAGTGGGAGGGCCAAAAAGTCACAAACAGCAAAATAAAATATTGTTTTTTTTTTTTTAATATTTCTCATAAGGCTTTTTAATAAAGATAAGGCTTCTATAGGTCCCCTGCCTTATCAATTTAAATGAGTCTCTCAAAAAATATATAAATCCATTTAAATATGGATTTTGGATTTAAAAATTTAAATATTAAAAAACTAGGCCTCATGATTATAAATATGAAAAAAATAAATTGTTAAAAACCTAGGCCTTGACACATCAATTAGTTTTTCAATAAAGAAAAAGTGGAGTGAGCAACATGTATTCTATATTTGTCTCCCCAGATGCACTTCACATTCATCTTAGAGATCATTGCAAAAAGGTGGTGGTCCCATCAAAATCGATAAATCAAAGATTGAAAACGTACATAAAAAAATATTACCTTTTTTTAAAAAAAATGATTTTTAATTCTTTTTAAAATTATTTTATAATTCACGTTCGCCATGGTATATAATGCAAAGGTCTAAAATTTTTGGATCCAAAATTGATCTTTTAGATGGATTTTGGAAGGAGGACTTATGTAAAGAAAAAGTTTATATAAATTGCAACTTCAAAATATAGAATCAAGGATGTACCTCAAATATTCATAGAAAAAAGGTTGTTTTAATGTTGAAAACCATCTTTGATCATCTTGACATTAAAATGTATGAATATAAAAAAAAAAAAATTTTATCCTAAAAATAGTACATCTTACAACACATTGTTTAGATCATCCATTTTCAATATTGTCATGTGTTTATTGATCTAACTGATTTTAACCATTTTTGAAGTTTTAAATTTAGTAAATAGAAATGACAATAGATTTTTAGATAATCCTAAAAATATTTTACACCAAAATTACATGATAAAATTTAGAAGTGTGTCCCTATGAGATTGTTTAAGATTGGAACCTCATAAAAACTGCACCTCTTATATAAAGAACAAATGCTTCCTGCGAAGAGGTATAAAGCCTCTATCTTAAAGATGGATGCAAATAAGTGGTCCATCTAAAAACAATTGTAGCTAACGGTCTAAATATTTTATTAATATAATTATTATTTATAGTTTTTAAAATTTATTTATTTTTTTATATTCATAATCGTTTAAAATTATATATTCTTTAAAATTAAGATCAAATTATATTTAAAAATTATATTTATTGCCAATCCCGTATTTGTACATGTGCGGGCTTGGCCGCATGCTAACTGAGTCCCTCAAAAAGTTAAAAACCCTCTCTCTCGGCGACAATTTTGATTTTTTTTTTTCTCACTTTTTGGAGTGATATTTAATGACAATGGAAAAAAACGAAACCCGATAAAAAAAAGAGGAAATCCAATAATAACAAGTTTTGTAGAATTATGGATTTTTTTTTTTCTAGCAATTTGGGGTTCTCTCTTTCTGTGTATGTGTATGCTTGGATGCATGCCCGTATCAATGTGTATACGGTATACCTATTTATGCATGCATGCATATCTATCTATGTTGATGCGTGCATGTATCAGTGGGTATACCTATTTATGCCTTCGTGCCTGCGTGTATGTGGATGGATGCATGTATCAATGTGTATGATTGTATACAAGGATTATGTATTTGAATCGGTGTCTGGCAGGGTTAAAAGACTCGGACGAGTCGGTTTGGTCTTGGCACCTTCCCGAGGCAATTTTACTGGCAAACTCGGCATTATTGGTTCTTAAAAAATTAACTTCTTATTATTACTAAATACTAAATGAGTAATAAATGATGCAAAAATTCGTTCCATATAATGTTATTTATTTTTTTGGTTTTTATGATGCTTTGTGAATTTTCCTTATTTTGTCCTCTAGCTTTCTGTTTTTCCCTTTTTTATGGATTTTTTTTGAATTCTTCAAAGCTATAAGTCAATTTGTTCCATTTTCCCAATTTTCCTATTTTTGTATGCTTTTATGTTTTAATTACTTCTTGAGATTTTTACTTTTTTTTACTCTTCTATTTATATTTTCCTATTTTTGCATACTCTTATTTTTTAATTACTTCTTAAGATTTTTACTTTTTTTTAAAAAAAGAATTAACAATTATTTTTTAAATTCTTTTTGCAATTCGGAACCCTTTTGGGCTCATACACAACTTGAGTGAGTCTTTAATTGCACACTAATGTATCATCTATGGAGATTATTATACATTAATTTACCAGGTATGTATGCATGCATATATGCATAGATAATGTTAATTTGACAAACAGGCTTTTGCCTAATATGAGAAGAATTCTACCATTGTGCCAACCTATTTTTTCCTGATTCAACTAGATCTTATCGCTAATCATCATCGTGCTGTAATTGAACCTTGAGACTGTTGAAGGGATCTGCATCTACATTACAATATGTTATGTAATTGGTTTTGTAAAAAAATTCATGTATTGGAACATATTATCTTCTGCTTGATTCACTTGAGGTGTTATTATAGTGATTGGAATGCTCAACATGTATTATGCAATTTTTTATTTCCACCAGGAAAACTTACATTTCCACCTTAAGCTGAAAATAGAATAATTTTAACTACTTGTGCTTTTAGTAGATGGGTAAGTTGTGACATGGTTGTCCTTCTTTTCATTTTCATCCTTTTATTAAGTCGGCTTCTTGATTAGGTATTATTTTCCATTTGACAACAGTATGCTAGGGATGTATGCACACACTTTCAGGTTTCGTTGAGTACTCTTGGCAAAACATCATCAACATCAACAATAGTAACTGAATTACATCATTGATAAAACACTGTAATAAAAAGAAAATAATGTCAATATATATGTGTGTGTGTGTGAGGAATGAACCAAAAGTAGGGAAGAGATTTCTTGGAGGACTTGGTACGCACTAGAGAGGGATTCTAGGAGAGTGGTGTGTCGAGAGAGAGTCGTAGAGAGGTTCTAGAAGGGAGTTCATGTTGGAAAATCTATAAGGAGATCCCAGAATTGTAGAACCACTCTTCTATTTGAATTAAGACTATACGAATATCATTGTGGGTAGGCTTCATTTCTACTCTAAAGGAAGTGTTGGACTTAACTTCTCACATTTTTTGGATCGCTTTTGCATGATTTTGGGTTGTTATGGATTTCGTTCTCATTTGAGTAGTTCTTTTTTTTTCATTTTTGTGGAATAATTTATTTGAGCAAGTGTTTCAAGTTGGGAATTTTTTTACTGCAGAACTGTAGCAATGGCTTCCAATGGTGGAGATGTGGCTTCATCCCAGTCAACATCAAAGCCATCTCCTTCTCCACCTCCTCTACGCAGTTCTAAATTTAGTCAAGTAAAAGTTGTTTTTTCTAGATGTCAGTTAATGTTTCCTTGGATCAATTATGTGTGTGTGTGTATGCTCTTCATTACCATACGTCTTGCTGGATGCATGTTTGGTTTGACACCTTTTTTATGTATCATTTACTATTTCTAGGTTCGGTTTATAGTTACTTCTTCTGATTATTTGCTTTCTCTAGATGTTCTTTTATTACGTGCTGTAATTTAAGACATTGACAGGAAAAGCTATATTTTTTTCTTCTTTTGAATAATTCTTGAATATGTTTGTTTTTTTTAATTAGGTTTTAGAATCAAAACTCATGTGAGTTATATGTTTGGAACCTTGGAATATAGTTATGTGCATTCGTCATGGATGCTGTTTTCAAGCACTTCCTTTCTGGTTTCTTTTAGTACATTGTGAATGGTGCCTATATACTGCATTATTTTACCAACATGGGTATGGGTATGTATTCTGATTCAACAAATGAAGTTAACTTGGTTCATAGGATAGTTCAGTGTAAGATCTGTCTAGCTCGATTATTTGAGTCATATATACATTGCAATTGTTGAAGATCCATGAAGCGAATTGAAGTTCAGAAGAATTTCGTGTTAAAGTAGATAATTTGGAAAATAACTAGAGTATCACTTTTCAGATTAATGAAGAATAACAAGACCCTGAAGTTAAAAGAAAATGAGCATAAAAAAACTTTCCCTTCTCAGAAATGGCTTTTTAAGAGTATATTTTACTGATGATGAAATTAAATGAATTTGGAGAAATAGAACTTTTATTTTTTATTTTTTACTTGTTTTTTTACTTTGAATTTTATGCTTCACAATGTTGGAGTCTCTAATTAGCTATCCATGTTGATGGACGAAAAATGAGTAGGTATAGATTCACAGATGGGTAAAGTGGCTTGCGCCATTTGATCCCATTATGCTCTGTAAAGGACATATCATTTTAATAGTCTTCTCACTATTTTCTGTTTTTATTACTATTATTTTTAATATTTGGTGTTATCCAGTACAAAAAACTCTAGATCACTTTATGTATGGCTGTATGCATGTCAAATAACATGAGCTTGTCATTGGATCTACACTTTCTTCATGCATATAGGCTATTACTGATGCTTGCATTTTGCTGTGTAAAAGAAATTATTGTGAAAATAACAACTGAAATGTGTTTGTTCTCCTCAATTAAGTGAACTTTGTTAGACAGGGACCGATGATTCACTAGTGAAGAGAGAAATGTTCTCTAATTGCCAGAAAGAACTATGTGCTTCCCTGAAGAGTGACAAAGTTAGAAGCTTGCTGACATTGTGGTTGGAAAGGTCTTCTACAACAACATATACTGTATTTTGATCAAGTGATTGAGTGAAAAATCGGAGCTCAAAGTATATCAAGTCCTTAATCTATTGCACCTATATCGTTGTTAAAAGAGAATTAAGAATATTACAACTACTATTCATGGTCCATGTCATGGGATTTGTGATTAACAGCGTAGTCAAGACAAAAATTATTCATGTTTCTTTAAAAAAAGAAAGACAAGAAATATTCGCATAAACTATTGGGAATCCCTTCGAAACAAGCTGCTGTAAGTGGTTATTTATAATATCTATCAATCTGTGTCTTGCTTTATTAAGCTATATGCTATTATATCATTGTAGCTTATAAGAGAAGGCTTATTATCGAAGTCTGAAACCATTTGGTCTTATTGAACTTTGGAACTTTGTGCTATTACTGCCACTGGACCTTATAATGTTAGCATCAGGAAAAGAATCTGGAACATTGGAAAATATTATATTTATAGCATTAGCATGCAGTATTCATTCATCATATAGCCTCTTGGAACTTAAGACTGAAAATCATTGTTTAAAAGACTGACTTAGAAAGTCTCTGTCTGATCTTACTGAGATTCAGTGGAACAGCTCCCAGAAGTTGACTTGCTGTTTTTGAAAACTGTACTTAAAAAGGGAAAAGTAGAAGGTATATTATTCTTTGTTCATGGAGAGTGAGCTTAATTTTTACATGTTGGACCTCGTGAAGATTTTTGGCTACCCAGTTTCTCCATGTCCCTTAGTGTACCTGGATGATACTTTGAGTCAGTTCAAGGACCCCAATTGCCGGTCTCAGCCACCCATGATCTTCCGGAGTACGTGGAATGATAGCCATCTGGCAAGACAAAAGATTAAAAGTAAGACTCCATCAGTTATTAATTTGAATAGATATACGAAGTTCATAAATTGAGAGTTCAAAAACAGTAGAAAGATGCACTCCAGATCTGATTCCCAGGGTTGTCCAATGTAAGGTTAGAAATATAGATTAAAGTTAAGAAAATTTAGAAAATTTTGTCTCAATCATTTTTTACATTCAGTATTCTATGAGTCTTCTTTTTATCGTTCAAAATTCATTTACTTATGATCACTTGATATTGGATGCCGGTAACACTGATCATTGTGTTACTTCATTTGCTAGATTCCATCCACATTATTTGCAACACGTTTTTCTTATGGCTACCTTTATGAGGCAAAATGTTTCCCACTGAACACATTACACTTGCATATTTACACGCTTTTCAACCTTTTATTTTTAAGCTCTGAAATCCATGTATCATTGCATTATATTTTCTGATTCAATATAAATACCCTTAATGGTAATTTTTTTGCTTAGTGGATGTGGATTAGTGGTTGCCTTTGAAGAAACAGGTAATGCTACTTCATTTTACTAAAATAAAGCTGACTTTGTAATCTGTTGTAGCCCAAATTACGAATTTTAGTGACGGGTGGAGCTGTTGGGTTCATTGGCACTCACTTAGTGGATAGATTAATGGAAATTGACAAAAATGAGGTAATTCTGATTCTTTATGCTTGGGGGATATGGTTTCTCTCTTTTTTTGCCTATAAGAATCTAAATACGCATTTTTTGCTTCATGAGATATGGATTTGTTTTTTACTTGATTCCTATGCTTGACATCGCTTGGTCGGTTCAGGTTATTGTGGTTTGTTCATTGGTTCGAAGGACAACCTTAGGAAATGGATTGGGCATCCAAAATTTGAACTTATTCATCATGGTATATCCTTTATTTATGTGTTTTTGTGAGAAAAAAGGCATATCATTTATTTATTGTTCATAATTGTTTGGAAATACCACGGGAAAATTCTTGAGTGGCAATTCATCATTGATATTTCATAATTGTTTGATCTTGCTTCAAACATGTGAATTTTTTATTCTACATTGTTACGTGCTATTCACATCTTCGAAACTTTAATTGACGATGGCATGGACTGCTGAATCAGTGCTTTTTTCTGCTTGCAGATGTGACTGAACCTTTATTGATTGAAGTCGATCAAATTTATCACCTCTCATGCTCAGCTTCTCTCATCTTCTACAAGTACAGCCCTGTAAAGGTGAGTCCTTTCCGCACCTGCAAATATTGAAAGTAAACTACAGTCCTATGGACTCTAGAAAAACCACATTTCTTTGGGTCATTACCCTCCATGAATGGAGGTTGATTGAGAGAAGGGGTCGCCCACCAATACAAGGCATGTCTCCTCCTTTATCATTTTCCATTATTTCTGTGCACCGTGATGACCAAATGGACTACAATGTTTACTTGGTTGATTAAATTATAGTACATTTTCTCTATAGCATATTCGTGACGTGTTAAATCCATCTCATTTCTTGTAGTTAGCTCCATTCCCATATATTTCATACAGCACATTGTACCTTTATCACTGCTTTAAAAAAGATCTAAGGGTAGCCAATATCTGATATCTATAGGGACCAGCAAAGATAAGCCTGGAGTGTTTGTGTTTCATTCGTTTGTTTGCTCTTCATTTGACATCATGTCGCTTAGTAAAGAGTGTGTGGAACAGACAATAAAGACAAATGTTATCGGCACTCTAAATATGCTGGGACTTGCTAAGCGAGTTGGAACAAGGTCAGATGGTCTAAGTTTTCTTTTCATTTGGTTAATGCTTCTTTTGGTTTCTAATAGGATGGTGTTCGATTTAAAGCAGAATCTTGCTAACATCAACCTCTGAAGTCATTGAGCATCCTCAGAAGGGAGAGTATTGGGGCAACGTCAGCCCAATTGGTATGTTTAGTGCCTCATTGGCTAAATGTTCTAGCTGCTTCCTCTTGTATGTCTAAGAGTTAAGACTTTACCGCATGGACGGTTACATGTTTCTTGAAATTTTATGGTTTGTCATGAGTTATTTCATCACAATACAGGGGTTAGGGGTTGCTATGATGAAGGAAAACGTGTGGCAGAGATTCTGATGTTTGATTATCATAGGCAGCATGGCATAGATAAAGTTTTATTTTCTTCTATTAGGTTTATATTAGTTTGATTTTTCTGTATAGATAGCATTAAAATGTGATTTTTATTTTTTGTTTTGTTTAATAGAGATTCGTATTGCTAGAATCTTCAACACTTATGGACCTCGCACGAACATTGATGATGGTCGTGTTGTTAACAATTTTATAGTGCAGGCACTCAGGTAAGTATGAAACTTGCTTTTTACATGATAGACCGTACTAATTTTTCATTTGGTTTCTCTTAGATAAACTACAAGTAAATTCATTTCATACTGGAACCTTGCGAAATTTGGTATTGAATTATTGATTTGGTATCTCAATGGAATGGATCAATGTCAATTTTACAGTTTAAGTAGCACAAATTTAGGAAGCTTGTTATGTAGGCAAAGTTTGATTCTGTTATTGGCTCTGGATTATAGCAAGTTATTTTTAGTCAATGTCGTTGTAGTGGATTAGAAAATAATTATGTTGGGTCTGACTTTTTTCTTTTTTAACTAGTGTGTTGCAGACATCTATAATGGGAGATCTGTGCCTTTAATGAACTGAACCTTATGGAATAGTCCAGCTTCCGGGACAGCATTAGTTCTAAGTCTAAGTGCATTTTGCCCTGGATAAATTACCTCTTAAATGGTTAGAGTGTAGCTGGTGGAACCATATAAGTTCAACCCTACTTCTGTTCTAGTCTTTTACTTGTTCTGAAGTTTTAAGTCATAATCATTTTGCAAATATTTGCAAGTTTGTGCTGTTATTCAGATTTTACCAAGTACAAACATTTATGTGGTTATTGTGCTGTGGATTTTTATAGGGATGAGCCATTGACAGTCCAGTCTCCTGGAACACAGACCCGCAGCTTCTGCTATGTTTCTGACATGGTAGGTAGTGGGTTTTCTGTTGTAAGGTCTCAAGTTAATCCCAAATTTGAAGGACAGGGCTGTGAGCTATTATTTTGTCCATGTCAGTGAATTATGAGATATTATTTGTCCTTGTCGGTGGATTCTAGTTTACATTTTCTCAGTTCGATATCATATTTGATGAATAAAACCAACGGCTATTGTTTGTCTTATCTTTTTTTTTTGGTGAATGCTGAAGGTTGATGGCCTTATTCGACTAATGGCAGGCGACCACACTAGACCCATCAACCTTGGAAATCCTGGTAAAATGTTCGGAAAAGTTTCAACCTATAAAAGAATTATACATATTTTTCTGTGAATCTATGGCTCAATTTTGTTTCACTGTTGTCCCCAATAATGCTGCACTCCACCTACCCAAATCCAAATATCTATTCCCTAAGATTATGTACATGACAACCCTGACATAAATTACTTATAATGCAGGCGAGTTTACAAGGATGGAGCTTGCTGAAACCGTGAAAGAGGTCAGTAAGGTGCCTTTTTTCACTCTCTCTGCCTCCATGTGTGTGTGGGAAATCTTAGAAACCAGTCAGTGTGCTTGAATTTTTTTGCATCTTGCTCATCATTTTCAGCTTAGATTGCTGTTTGTTCTCCTCTATTTAGATCAGCAGTCGATATCTTAAAAAGGATTCAAGGGAAATGAAATCTTTGGATAGACTAAAATAAACTTTATTATTGCAACTTATTGATTCTTCTATCCCCGTTAAGATCATGGACAATAGACCAGATGATCCTCGATAGAGGAAGCCTGACATTACAAAGGCAAAGAAACTCTTGGGATGGGAGCTCAAGGTCAAGTTACGTGAAGGTCGCCCTCTCATGGAAGAAGATTTTAGACAGAGGCTCGGCATTCCAAAGAAGTAACACCCTCCCATTTTGCATATGCATCGTTGGGGATCTTGGATCTTTTACAGGTACCATAAGACATTGTAGGGGAAACTCTTATTCAGGTTGGTTTTTTATTATAGTCTTGGTTTTCCGAAGCTCCAATAAAGTCTGGTTCTTCCTGTGAGGCAGGGCTCTGTGCATTTCATCATGCTGAGAACGATTGTTTTAAAGGATTATTGTTCGTCAGATGAACAACTGGTGAGGTTTATAATATTACTGATTATTAAATGGAAAGAGTTGAATCTGGTTTCTTTTCTTGATTTCAGATTCTCTTTCTTTGTTATGTTTGTTTCTAGTTCAAGGACCTGGTTGCTCAGTTTTTCATGAAGTTGGTGGAATGAGGAGCCATGAATATCCAAATCCAGATGAGCATCACAATGGAGTAAGACATTTTTTCGATCTCTTTAGAAGTATGATGGCAGCATATCGTTCATCGAGACTTGGGCTTCACATCACAGAGAGAGTTCAATGACTCTGAGAATCTACCATGCATTATGTTTCCATTATCACTTAAATATTATAAGAGAATATATTAATTGTGGAATATTAATTTGATAATCATGATCATTGTCGAAGCCTTTTTCCAACTAATTGGGGTTGGCTAAAAATTGACAATGCATGTACTATATGCAATATATAATAACTATACTTATAGGAGGTATTGTGAATAATATTTATAGTATTTTAATCATATGAATTTATACTATTATAATTATACTTATAGGAGGTATTATGAATAGTATTTATATTATTTTAATCATATTAATTTATACTATTATAATTATATATATTAAGAAAATAACAATAATAATCTGATCGTAGTACTGTAATTAATAATATAATTATAAATATAATACGAATAAATTTAATTTTATTATGATTTCCAATTTCCAAATAAATCATTATCAAAACATTATTAAGTAAGCTTATGATAGTATTATTAATGAATTATTTGGCAATTATACAAATTTATACGTAATCAGTGGCATTTTTACAATTTTTATAATTTTATATTAATTATTAATACCATTCATTAATATTAATCAATATGATTATAAATTAATCATTTTGATTCTATTATTTTTTATAATTGTTGTAACATTAATACTTATAATATATCAATATTAGGATAATTAATGTAAAAATCCTTTTTTTGTGGCTAGCTGCATAAAAAAAAAAACATTTAATTTTTTTTTTTGAATTAAAAATATCCCAATATTTTCATATTTTACCATGAGGTCACTGTTTTGTAATTTTTTAATTTGCCAAAAATGCCCCCAGTTCCGTACTTGATGTACCGGACCATAGTCTATTAGGTACCTTCTCAACAATTTTATCAAAAACGCAAAACTTTTCTGTATTCTTTAGTTTATAACCCCTAACCACTCATGTCATTTGAGAGTATTGAGGTAATTTGATACACTCGAGTCATTTGAGCCAAATGGCCTCAGTATCTCTGCTCGCTTGTTTCAGGTTCCAAACTGAAAGTATATTATTTTTTAATTAAAAGAGAACATTCCGGGTTTGGAACCTATGAGGCCATTTGTTAATTTGGCTCCACCTAAGTAAGCTTGAGCCGCAAAGATGTAAATACCCTTCTTGTTCCATGTTCCACATTTATAACAAAATTCTACAATAAAATAAGGAAACAATTTATATAGAGCCGAGACTCTAAACAATCAAATAAGAGCCCACCTCAAAAATATTAGTTTTGATGCCCAAATATCCTGAAATTGATCATTTACATGAGAAAAAATGAATTTCAAGCTTTAAAAATAGTGCATCTTGCGTATTTTTGGACAGTCAATTTTCAATATTTTCAAGTTTTCATGTATCTGTTCGATCTATACTATTTTTTAGGCTTTAAATTTTATAATTAAAGATGAAAATATATTTTAAGACTATCTCAAATATTTTCAATATTGAAACCACATTTCTCAACACTATTTGAAGATGCGCTTTGATTGTTTGGAACCGGGCTCTAACCGCACCATTAAAATAATTGTCTTTTGGCTTGAATAACGTAAGTCACTAAATTACTAAAAAAGTACAAGGTTTCTATGAGTCCTAGGACTCATATTTAGAAATGAGTCCCCTGTTAAAAATCTATTTTTGAGATGGATTTAGGACTTAAATTTTATGGAATATAAATCTCTAATATGGAGATCACGAATATATAAGAACAAATAAATTTTAAAAACTAAAAGTGATAATTTCATGAAGAAAATATGTAGATCATTGGTTTTAACTGTTTTTAGAGGGATCACACATTTGCATCCATCTTTAAGATGGATTTTTTTTCCCTAGGGGGATACAAACATAAAAATGCATCCCCCGACGCATACAACACTTTTCTTTACTAAAATGCTCTCACTTGTTCAAGTTCCAATTTCCAAATGCAGGGGCAGCTTGGGCATTTTATAAAAAAATAGCAGCATCCAAGTGAAATAATGTTTAAAGGAAAAAATTTATATAGAGCCAAGGCTTTGAACAATCAAATTAGAGCCCACCCCAAAAATTTCTACAAGAGGTTTTTTACAAATGATTCGACATCAAGATACATGGACGTGAGAAAAAAATGGATTTCAAGTTCTGAAAATAGTGCATCTTGTAAAAAATTTTTGGACCGTCAATTTTCAAGATTTTCCAAGTTTCATAGATTTGCTCGATCTACATTAGTTTTAAAGCTTTAAATTTTATAATTAAAGATGAAAATATATTTTAAGGCTATCACAAAGATTTTCAGTATTGAAACCATATTTCTCGACACTTTAAATGTGCGCTTTATTTTAGAGCCTTGGTTCTATACAAACTGCACCCATGTTTAAAAGGCAACCACTTTGCTGGTAAATTATTTGATTAACCAACTCAGTGACTTTTTTGAGGTGCTCTGACCATGTTATTGATACCTCTATCTAAAGGGTAGTGGAGTTGCATTAGGCCCATTTAATGGCATCCAAGAAAGTTACTGTTGCAACATGAAATTGTTGAGAGGGAGCGGGAGCGGGAGAGGGAGAGAGAGAGAGACTTGTTAGGTTATGCTTTTTCTTGACATCTAGGAGAACCCTTGTTAGTTTCCAGATGGTTCACACACTTCCAGTTACATGAGATCTCTGGTCTCTAAATACATCTCTCTCTCTCTCCTGACATGCCAGGTTGTGTCAGGTCCAGGTTGGATGTATGTTCGAGTTGGGTCCAAGTGTAGTCGACCTTGAGCGAATTAAGATGAGAGTAGACCCAAACCCATTTCTGACCCACTTCCCATACTCGACGTAGTCCAGGTCAACCCGACTCAATTGACACCACCACAGCACTAGTGATCTCTAAATGCATTCGCCAATGTTATTTGGGAACCAAATTGAGTGTCACTAGTGATCTCTTATTTTCATGAGGGCTGAATGGACCTCGTTCATCGTTGGCCGTTCTTCGGGAGTTGCATGTGTGCATGCGATAGCGATCTCGAAGACGCTCATGATCTTAGCAACCTGTGATTCTGCTACATGGCTTGCTTGCAGCCGTTGATCCAATGCACTTAGGATCCCCTCAGTTCCATTTAGCATGGCATTGGCCACCCATTGCTGGAGTGTAATGTGTGTGCCATCGCTTGTTATCCCAATTGGGGATTTGGCAGTTAATAATTCCATAGTTAGTATGCCAAAGCTGAAAACATCGACCTTTGTGGTGGCCCTTCTCATGTAGGCAAACTCTGCATGCAAACAACAACAGCATACCAATGCATTGTCATTGAGGTTTTAGAGAGAGAGAAAGAGAGTACTTGAATCCATTCTTCTACTCAATTATTAGTGTTTCAAAAAGCGTTAGGTGGCACCTAAGCGGTCGGGGGGCTCCAGGCCGCCCAGCGCCTAGGCGGGTTCTCAAAACCTAGGCAGTCTAGTAGATTTTTTATTTATTTTTAATCTAAAATAGGGGTTTAGGTAGATTTTTTTTTTGTTTGTTTTTTAATCTAAAATAGGGGTTTTAGGTTTCAAATGAACCTAAAACTCGTCTCTTTAGTATTAAAAAAATGACCTAAAAATACCTTCAAGGAGCTGCATTCCGCCCCTGGGCGGGCGCCTAGGCGGGCTCCCGGGCGCCTAGGAGAGCTCCCAAGGATATCCGTCTAGTTTGGCCGCCTAGGCCTAGGTGATGCGCCCAGGCATTCTGGACCGTCTAGGCGCTGGGCGGTCCATTTTTTAAAACTATGTCAATTATACAAGTGTTTGTGCAACTCTATATTGTACTGGGTTCAACTCTACATTGTACTGGGTTCGCTTTTTGTGTGTGTGAGAGAGAGATTACCTGGAGCCATATACCCAATGGTACCCTGGAAACAAGAGGAAGAAGAGATGCTGCTACTTCCTGCTTCTAAATGCACCCCCAACATTCTTGCCGTTCCAAAGTCACTCACATGTGCCACCAAATCCTTATCTATCAACACATTTGAAGGCTTCAAATCACAGTGAATAATAGGAAAGTCATAGCCATGGTGTAAATAACACAACCCATTTGCCACTGATATCGAAACGTCCAATCTCTCTCTAAAACCATCCATACTTGTACTTCCATGAATCTTATATTCCAGGCTTCCATTCTCCATGTATTCCAATACCAGGGCCTTAAACCTTCCACTCTCCCATCCAAAACCCAGAATCTTTACCAAATTCCTGTGCCTTAAATGGCTCAGAGTCTTCAACTCTGTGAGAAAGCACTTCTCAGCTTCTTTCGAGAACTGCAAATTCAGCTTCTTAATGGCCACTGCAGTTCCATCTCTAAGCCTTCCTTTGTATACTGTGCTCATGCTAGTTGCACCAATGACATTATCAGAACTAAACCCATTTGTGGCTTCATGTAATTCTTCTTTGCTGAATCTTTTGATGTCCTGTGGGGCTATCGCATCATTTGTTCCTGTATTTTCTCTCTCTAACTTTTGGAGTTTTCTGCGAACTATTAGAATTACAAGGCTTAGAAATGTGAGAAGAAAGAAAGAAGAGAGAGAGAGGATCACAATGATCACTTTCTTTGAAATTCTATGTGATTCATGGTCGGTGGTTTCTAAGAGGGTAGTATTAGTGCAAGATTTAAGAAAACTTGCACCACAAAGGCCTGGATTTCCTTGCAAGCTTGAATATCCCAAGCTTTTAAGAATACCAACCTGAGGAACAGAGCCATTGAATAAATTGAAAGAGAGATCAAGAAGCTTTAGGCTTTTGAGGTCTCCAAGGCTTTTTGGAATGAAGCCTGTGAGCTTGTTATGAGAGAGATCCATGGAGCTGAGAAGTTTCAGGTTACCAATCTCTTCTGATAATTCTCCTTCTAACTGATTTTGAGAGAGGTTTAAGCTTCCCTGCAAGTTTTGGAGAGAGAAAATTCCTTGAGGTATTGCACCAGAAAGCTTGTTTTCTGATAAATCCAGATTCACCAGACCTACACAGTTCGCTATGGAATATGGTATAGACCCTGAGAGATTATTATGAGAGAGATCCAATTCTATGAGCCTTCGGAGCTTTGATATGCTTCCAGGTATGGAGTTTGAGAAATCGTTTCCATGAAGTTTGAGACTTGTCAGCCATTGAAGCTCAAAAAGAGATTCTGGAATTGAACCAGAGAGTTTGTTCAAGCTGAAGTCCAGCAAAGTGAGCTTCTTCAGTTTTGACATATCACCATTAATCCCTCGAAACGAGTTCTCCATTAATTCTAGCCCCTGAAGCTCTGCCAGGCTCTCTATCTCGGAAGGCAAATGCCCCACAAATCTGTTTCTACCAAGCTCTAGAGAGATCAATTTGGTCATATTTCCAATCTCTGCTGGTAATTCTCCTGTAAATCCATTAGCATAAACTCTCAAAGTCCTTAGATTAATCAAAATGCCAATTTTTGAGCTTAATCGCCCGCTAAAGCGGTTCCTAGCTAAATCCAAGGAATATAGCTTGCTACAATTGAATAAGTCTTCAGGTAATTCACCAAAAAAGCGATTACCTCCTAGGGAGAAAAAGCTCAGGTTCTGTAACTTTCCAAATCCATTGGGTATTGGGCCTGTCAATCTATTATTTGTCAAAGTAAGTACAGTGAGGGAAGTGCAGTTCGAAATGCTTACAGGTATAGTGCCTTCAAGCTGGTTATTTGAGAGTATCAGACCCTTCAAATTATACAAAGACCCAATGTTCGATGGAATCGGGCCTCTCAGATAATTGAAGCTTAGAGAGAGGTTTTTCAGATTTGAGAGCTCGAAGAGAGAGAAAGGTATCCTCCCTGTTAGGTTATTCTCGTGTAATATCAGGAGCTCCAAAAATTTCAGCTCCCCAAGTTGAGGAGGTATACTGCCACTAAGCTCATTCCTAGAAAGCTCCAAATGAGTGAGGGATTTGCAGAGAGAGACTTCAATTGGAATAGGACCTGATAGCTTGTTATCATACAGAAGCAAGGTTTCTAATCGAGCCAATTGCCCGATTTGTTTTGGTATTTTTCCAACCAAATTGTTACTGTAAATACTCAAGGAAGTAAGGTTTTTACAGTAAACCAATTCAGAAGGGATGGAGCCTGATATCTGATTCTCATGGAGTTGAAGGATTTGTAAATTCGAGAGGTTTCTGATTCCAAGTGGTAGAGAACCAGTGATTTTGTTACTGCCCAAGTTTAAGGCTTCGAGTGCTCGTAATTTAGTAATGGAGATTGGTATAGACTCAGATAGTTGGTTAGTGTAAGCTAGAAACGTCTGCAAATTCAAGAGGTCCCCTATAGAATCCGGTATGGTACCAATGAGATTGTTATTGCTCAGATCTAGGGTTTGAAGAGCTTGTAACTTGGTAATGGAGATTGGTATGGAACCAGATAATTGGTTATCAGAAGCCATAAAAATTTGAAGATTTACCAGATTTCCGAGGGTTGAAGGGATCGGACCTGTGAGATTGTTAGACGAGAAGCGCAACCCCATCAAATTCGAACAGTTTCCAATGGTTTCAGGGATGCTTCCTTCAAGAAAATTCTGACCCAGGTCCAAAAGTTGCAAGTTTCCGAGGTTTCTGAGGTCTGGTGGGATCGAGCTAGATAGAGAATTGTCGAAGAGGCTCAGTAAGGTGAGCTGGGAAGAGAGAGAGAGTTGTGGTGGGATGGGCCCTGTGAAGAAATTTGAGGAGAGGTCTAAAGTTTGGAGGAGAGAGAAATTCGATAAGTATGGGGAGATTGTGCCTTTGAGGTTTAACTGAGACAGGGTAATGCTGATAACAGAGTTATCAGAGTTGCAGACTATGCCTGACCAGTTACAGTGATGGGTGGTTTGGGTCCAATTTGATAGGAAATTGGATGGGTCACTTGTGATTGAGCTCTTGAGAGCTTTTAAAGCTTGGAGTTCGATGAGTTGCAGGGAATGGTTTGGAGGAGAGAGAATGAAGATGAAGAAGAGGAGGAGAATGAGTTTGTGTTCTGCCATGGCTATGTCAGGTTTGTGGATAAAGAAGAGGGATGCGGCTTCAATATATATAGCAAATTGAAATGGGGTTGCTGCTTTTGGGCTAATTATTGATACCCTTAAGAGGGAGGGGGCGGGGGGGAGAGCAAATTTAATTGGTTTGCTACTTTTTAACCAATTAGAGAGAGAGAGAGAAAATTGAATTGAGTTCGATTTTTTTAACCAATTAGAGAGACAGAGAGCTGTACACCAGATTCGCAAGTGGTGGCGGTTTGAGACCAGAGAGAGAGAGAGAGAGGGAGAGAGCTGTAAACCAGATTAGCAAGTGGTGGTGGTTTCAGACCTGAGAGAGAGCGAGAGAGAGAGGGAGAGAGCTGTAAACCAGATTAGCAAGTGGTGGTGGTTTCAGACCAGAGAGAGAGAGCGAGAGAGAGAGGGAGAGAGCTGTAAACCAGATTAGCAAGTGGTGGTGGTTTCAGACCAGAGAGAGAGAGCGAGAGAGAGAGGGAGAGAGCTGTAAACCAGATTAGCAAGTGGTGGTGGTTTCAGACCTGATAGAGAGCGAGAGAGAGAGAGAGAGAGATTGCCTTAAAAAGTGAAAATCCTGGGTAGTCATCATTCAACATGACAGGCACTAATCAACACTTTTCTAATTGGAAAGAAAGAGAGAGATTCTCTCGGACAATCCACTCAAAGTGAGAGTCTCAAAGTCAAGATCTAGATTTGGTACTTCGTTATCAAATCATTCAATAAGTCAGCAGTCAACACTTCTCTAATCTCACTCTTTCTCTACCGGACTGGATGCCTCACTAGGTTTGGATCCAACCGGATTCGACCCGACCCGACCCGACCCGATCCGAATCGAATAATATAGGTATATATGGGTATTCATAACTATTGTCAATATGTTTGTTTTTGGTAATTTTCAAATTTAGGTAAAACTAGGTTTGGGTCTGGTCGCCCCAACCTGGTGTCACCCCTACTTGAAAGAGACGATGTTATTTATCACTCCATGCATTGCCACAATGGAAAGTCTCTCTTTGGATCGGGATGAACAATAGGAAGCAATGGCTCTCACTCTATTCTTTGAATCAATGGTGAACACCCCTCTCTCATCACTAATCTTTTAAGGCAAATTTTCTACTAAGTTTTGATGATGCAATGGCTCTCACTCCACGCTTTGAATCAATGGTGAGCACCTCTCTCTCATCTCTAGTCTTTTAAGGCAAATTTTCTACCAAGTTTTGATGAGAAGAGGTTTTGATCCGGAGTATTGTAAGGCGCAGAGACAGATTTTGGGACAAATTATACACAAAATATGTATGCAAAGGTGGAGAACAAGCTAAAAAGGTGAATCTTTTAATATAATTAAAATTTGTTGAAAAGTTAGAATGGAGCATGATAAAATGCAAATAAATGCTTTATTAAATGATGAAATAATTGTTGTAGATCTATAGCGAGCTCTAAAAGAAAGCCATACTTGATTGAGTTGCTATAGCCCTTGGACCATAGATTTTCCATAGCCATGAAATCGGTCCAAGAAAGTCATACACAATGGAGCTGCAAAAACTTCCTAATGGATATCTTCCATTTGAATTGAAATCTTTTTAATTAAGAAATCCCTTTTTAGTTGCTCTTGAACAATTAAGAGATTCGCTTGAAGAAATACGAAGTTTTGATTCTGGCAATAACATGCTATTGGGTGGCAGTCCCAATAATGGGGTCAGATTAATACGTTCTATGAAATCATTCAATAATCCCACCCCAAAAAAAAGTACTTCCATTCACGTCTATATAATTCAGTAGCATGGTTAAGTGGTAAGGTGGGGACTGCAAATCTTTTCTCCCCAATTCAAATCCGAGTTTTGCCTGATCAACAAAGGATACAAATTTTCGTCACATTTGACTACTAGAGGCAATCCCTTCCCTAACAAAGTAAACATTCTCATTATACATTCTCCATTTTTCAAATAGTTCTCGTTGTCGGCAATCCTCCTATTATTTGTAGGAAGAAGTAGTTTCATGTCTGAAGTTATTACAAGCGCATTTGATATTTAAATAATTAAAAAGTTAATTTTGTTAATAAAATAATATTTGAGAAAGATAAGGTTGATCTTCAAAGTTGAAAGTTAAAACAATAGTCAAGAGACTCAACTTAACAGCCTAATAAAAACAAGAGAAAAATGAACTCTTGTGGAAATTTTTTGTCTTTTTTGTTCAAAAGTAAACTCTTGTGAAAAGCTATACTGTATAGCTTTCTATGATTGATTGAATAAATTAGAAGGTTGTGCATGGCCGTGAGTCAAAAGAAAGGGATAGGAAATAAGCAAGCAAAGGTGATGCCAAAGCAATGTACGAAAACTCGAGCGGTTCAAATTCTAACCGCTCAATTAGATCCGGTTAGGTCGGATTTTCGGCCAGTTTTGGTGAACCAGTTGAGTATTTTAATTTTTTTTAAAATAAAATTATTCAAATCTTAAAAAACAAGTGATTTTGTTTGTAATGCATTTTTTAACTTTTTTGATCATTTTGGCAACGATTGGAAATTGTTTTGGTCATTAATATTTATTTTTATATGTTCTTATCTTTTAAACAATTTCAAAATACCCTTGGGACATATCAATTCTTTAAAAGCCATTTTTTTTTTTATTAATTTTAACTGTTCTTTGTTTAATCATGTTTTAAATATATTTTTTATATTTTATTAGATTTGTTTTTATATTTTTTAATACTTATTTTTGGACTGTTGAGACTTATCTTGTTAGACGTGTTGAATAACTTCCAGCTCTATGTCCAGGTGGTTCGATTTTTCCTCCACTGCACCAGCGGTAAATGATTACATAGCTATCACCTCTTGCCCTAAAACCAAATTTCTCTCTCTAGGCCACTTGCTCCAAATGGGTACATATCCATCAGCTCTTGGACTAAAACCAAATTTCTCTGTCTCTCTCTGAGCCACTTGCTCCAAATAGCAGGATATTCATCAACTATTTGGCTAAAACCAGGTCCCTCCCTCTCTCTCCAAGATGCCACTTGTTTCTTCAAATAGGTACGTCTTCATTACTTTTTTTTTTTTTTTGGACCAAAACCAGCTCTCTTCCTTTCTCTCTATAAATGGCGACAAGATCTGCACTGTTTTTGGAGCACCAAATGCTCAACAAAACTAGATTCGCAATCTGTCACCAAGTTTTATGTACCACGGCTGCGTTTTTCAACGAGGTTCGGTGCTGCTTTACCAAACTTAGTAAAGTTGTGGCCTCACAAAAAAATTCTTTTCTGCCAATTTCATCTACCCAATTGAAAGGACGCCGCCAGATATGATATTTTTGGAGGAAATATTTGAACGGGTTATTTTCTTTTGCCAAAAGTTTATATAGAGCCGAGGCTAGAAACAATCAAATTTAAGCCTACATCAAAAAATTCACTAAAAGAGGTTGTTTTGATGCCCAAATATCTTTAATTTGATCATCTTGACATCAAGAAGCATGGATATGAGAAAAAACTGGATTTCAAAATTTCAAAGTAGTGTATCTTATATAGCATTTTTGGATCGTCAATTTTCAAGATTTTCATAGATCTGGCGATCCACACTATTTTTGAAGCTTTAAACTTTATAAATAAATATAAAAATAGAGTAATGATCCTATAGGACCCTCCTCACCCATGTGTGTAGGACCCCAAAGGATCGTCATTAAAATTGGTATGGATCTCTAAAGTTATCACATGGGTGTGGGACTTGACTTTTCTATAGATCCGTGCCAAATTTAATGGTAATCCTTTGGGGTCTTACACACATGGGTGGGGGAAGGTCCTATAGGATCACTTCTCATAAATATATATTTTAAGGCTATAACAAAAATTTTTAATATTTAAACCACATTTCTTGATACTATTTAAAGGTAGGCTCTGATTTGATTGTTTAGAGCCTAGGCTCTGTATAAACCGCACCTTTTTACTTTTTCGTGGGAGGACTATTTAAAGGAAAAAATTTATATAGAACCGAGGCTCTAAACAATCAAATTTGAGCCTACATTAAAAATTTCACTAGGAGAGGTTGTTTTGATGCCCAAATATATTTAAATTGATCATCTCGACATCAAGATGCAAAGACATGAGAAAAAAATGGATTTCAAGTTTTAGAAATAGTGTATTTTGTAACGTATTTTTGGACCGTCAATTTTCAAGTTTTCATAGATATATCGATCTACATTGTTTTTTAAGCTTTAAACTTTATAAATAAATATAAAAATATATTTTAAGGCTACCACAAAGATTTCTAGTATTGAAACCACATTTCTCGATGCTATTTGAAGGTAGGCTCTAATTTGATTGTTTAGAGCCTAGGCTTTATACAAACTGCACCCGTATTTAAAAGGAAAAAGTTTACATAGAGCTGAGGCTCTAAAAAATCAAATTAGAGCCCACTTTAAAAATTTCATTAGAAGAGGTAGTTTTGATGCACAAATATCCTCAAATTGATCATCTCGACATCAAGATGCATGAACATGAGAAGTAAATGAGTTTCAAGTTTTGAAAATAGTGCATCTTGTAATGCATTTTTGGACTGTCAATTCTGAAGAGTTTCAAGTTTTCATAGATCTGCTTGATCTACATTACTTTTGAAGCTTTAAACTTTATAATTAAAGATAAAAATATATTTCAAGGCTATTTTCAGTATTGAAACCATATTTCTCAACATTATTTGAAGGTGCGCTTTACTTTGATTGTTTAGAGCCTTGGCTTTATACAAACCACACCCTTACTTAAAGGACCCGGTTTTGGTGGACGGTGTAGATCTTCGGTCCGCATAGTAACTGGTGCGGACTTGGCGGCACCAAACAATTTTCCAATGAATGAAGTCTCTATAGGGCCTAGGCTTTTTGAAAAGAAAAGAAAGCCCCACCTCAAATTCACATCGGAACGTGCTTTCTGTTAGTCCCAAAAAAAAAAATTTATAATAAATAAATAAATAAATAAATAAATAAATAAATAAACAAACATCTTACGTGGATCTGTCCTTAAATTACATGAAGGACTTAAGGTTACTTACCAAAACCTATAGACGAAGCCATCCGGTGATAGGCCACCTTGAGAGTCCTATTTGGTGAATCTCTTTCACCTATTTTTCATCATTCTATCTTCTACTTTTTTTTTCACTTGAGGGGTTAACCTCTTTTTATAGATAACCATTTTTTGTAACTCTCACATTTATGGTGTTTAGGAGTTGAGATCTAAGTATAACTCTTGCCTTAATTCACTAAAGTATAACTAATTAAGATTAAAAAGTTGTTACAAAACTGTTATTCCTATATAATGAGCTAAACCTGTCATTAGTACACTAATGACTCACATAATAAGATGTCATTGAAACATTCCTACAATTGGATAAAAGATATTTAGAAATTAAATAATTTTGTACATCTATAATATAGAAAAACAATTCTTACAAAGAATCTAAACACATCATTGGGTTTTCCCTCCAGTGATACTGGGTTTCCCCTCCAGTGCGTCTCATGTCAATCACATGGGATTTTACATTTACGATATAATATGCCTTTTGTACCTTTATTGAAAAATAAATCCTATGATAAAAAGGCCAGAAACACCACATTTCCAACACTTTGGGTATTGGAAATCTTTATGATAGCTCTAAAATTAATTTCCAACACTGACAATAAATTTCGAAACTAAAAAAAATTTTGAAACTAAAAAAACGGTATAGATCTTGACCATTTAGTTTTAGGGCAAAATGAATGGTTTATATGATTTGTTGCAATATACACTATTTTTAGAGTTTAAAATCTTAATTTTTTTTGTACAACCATAATGTCCAAGATCATCGATTTAAAGGTTTTTCAACTGTAATTTTTGATGAGTTACTTTGATAGGGCTGCACCGCCTATGAAACCATCTTCCTTTTCCAATTGAAAAATTTTCGCAACTTTGTCTACCTGGGCCAAGTTTGAACAAGTTTTAAGCTCGATACACGGGATTAATCTCAACCAACTTCCCATAACCTACCACGTGGCGCCATGTCATGGGTTCAGGTTACATTATTTATAAATCCTCAAATTGTTTTGGGTGCTTAAATCCTTCCAATTTTAACTGGAAAAAAACAAAACAAAATCTTCCCTTTTTCTGATATAATTTGTAACCATGCAGCAAATGAGAGAAGAAACGAAAAAGTTCGAGAGCCCAATCCATGTGCAAGAATGGTGGAGGATCCTCAATCAGCTAAGGTAAAAAACGCTCAAGACCCAACACAGGTCTCTCTCTAGGTTTCCTTCTCTCCCTAATAAGGTTATTTTGTAAGGAAATTATATATTATGAGGCCACTTATCTTTTGTTACAAAATAATATTTAAAAAAAAACTGTTTGTTACAAGCAACTCGTAATTGCTACTGGCTCTTAAATATCAAATTAGATGGTTTTGGATGTGTTACAAAGTTCGATAATTTTTTTTTATTTTTTATTTTTTAAATTTGATTCCGATTAATGGCACTTACAACCACCCGATTTGAAATCTGATGGACAAGACTGGTTATGACATGATTGTACTAAAAGTAAATGGTTTATTTGTATATCTTTCCTTTTGTAAGTGGGCGGCTTTTTGCATTTATAATTTCATTCAAACATGTATTTCTAGCATTTTGAACTTCTATAACTTAGATAATTATAGATCTGAAAAGATAATAAACCAAGCGCAAAAAAAGTATTCCATTTCGATAAATAGTTTCGAAAAGGTATATAATGAGACCATTTATCTTTGGTACAAGGTGGTCATAATTAATCTTGACCATTGGATGTGAAATTAGATGCCTGTATTTATTCTATGTATTTATTCTATTGACTAAGCTCAAACTTCAAAAGAAATTTTCTCAAATTTTGTGACACTTCCAAGCTATCAGATTTCATATTGGATGGTAACAAGTAATTGTGACCTCCTTGTATGAAAGATAAATGGTTTCGTTGTATACAATCTCAATAGTTTTTAATTGTTCATTCAATTAATCACTGTCCAATATTTGAAAGGAAAGATCTAGTTGTTCTAGAAGTGAACATCCCAATATTTTTCTTTTGTAATAATCATCTAGTGATACTAGATGGATCCTAGAACTTGGACTCAAAAACAATTTCCCAAGTAGCTATTTTCCCTAGGGATACAGTATGCTCAAGTAGAAGCATGCTTTACGACTTCTTAAATAATTTATGGGCCCATATTTGAAAATTCCGATTTGAGATTCAAAAATATATTTTTCTTCTTATTCTGAATTTAGATCCAGCTTTTAATTAATTAATTTTCCTTTCATAGGTTGCAATCCATCAAATTTTAATTTTAATAAATATTCAAAATTCCAAATAAAATGTTTTTCTATTTTAAAGCACCATCCATCAAATATTTAATTAAAAAAAATTGAAAATAGTTATTGGTTTAAATTATTGGTTGCATATATATTGTTTTAGTCGTTCATGAAGATATTATCATCATCATCCTGGGGTTAGCTACCTGAATCATGTTTCAACATTTCGGATTCATGAGAAGATGTGATGAAGTTTTACAGTAACTGCCTGCCTAATACAATCATCTTTTATTCGGATTTGAGATCGGCCATGGCAGCGTTTCATGAAGATATATAATTGATAATCACAAGTGAACTGTGGAAAAATGGGTAACAAAATCAATTTAAATATTTTGAAATTAAAATCTGACACTTCACTAAATTTTTTTAGACACTTATATTTGACAGAGGTTTTTCCCTTTTTTATCTAGCAAATTTAGGAGGAAAGGTGATTGATGAGTCCAAGGACACATGCATCCCCTCAACCATCAAACACCTCTTTAAGTTGAGAGGCTATAAAGAAAGCCCATTCAAAACTCCGAACGCATGGGTATTAGTTTTTTTTGTCAAAATTTATTATTTTTAAAATTTTAAAATTTACTAATTTATTGTTGAGGATATGACCCTTAATAGGACAGAATGACAGATCAAGATTCATATAGTCAACTCCAATTAGTTGGAAAAAAAAGCTTTGACGATAATAATGATGAGAACTTATTTATTTTTAACATGTAGATGATCCTCATGTTTTAGATTATGAATCCCTAAAACTTGAGATTGATTTAGGATGAGGCGGTTACATCCGCTTTGAAATCTTAAAAATACTCCTACACAAGACTTTCATTGAGGGAGCATATACGAAGGAGCATATAATTTTGTGACTATATTGAATGACATAAATTAAAGGAAAAAGTTTACATAAGGTTGCAACTTAAAATGTAGAATCACATATGGACTTCAAAACTCCATTAGAAAAGGTTGTTTTAATGTTGAAAAACTCTCTAATTGACAATCTCGACATCGAGATGTATGAATATGACAAAAAGAAGAGATTTTGAGTCCCATAAATAGTTCATCTTCCAACACATTATCTAGACCGTCCATTTTCAAGATTTTCATATATTTATAGATTTACTTGATTTTAATCATTTTTGGAGTTTGAAATTTTATAATTAAATATAAAAATAGGTTTTCAAATAATCTTCAGATTTTTTTATACCAAAATCGCATGTTATGATAAAATTTGGAGGTGCACCTTAATTGGATTGTTTAAGGTTGCAACCTTATAAAAACCGCACCCTAAATTAAATCGATTTTTTTTTCTTCATATATTCGTAATTAAGAAAGAGGCAGTAAAGTTCATCCCAACTAAGGGTTCCATTAAAATTATGATACATGGAAAGAGATGGAAGGAAAAGAAAAAGCTGCAGCAGGGATTGGGCAATGTGTCGACGGTGGTCTGGCGGACCTCAAACCTATCTCCACTAATTCTTTGCTAATTCAATTTTTGTCATTTTCGTGATACATGAATTTAATAAACATTTGCAGCCATTGAATGTCTCATTTCAGAAACTAGGGCGTGTTAGCCATGATGAATTCTGCAACACCATGAATGAGAAGTTGAATTGTGAAGCTCGAATGGAAGCTGATCATGCCTCTCCAAAGCCAGACCAGCCTAAATTGAAGTAGTATTTTCCTCTTTTTTTTGTGAAGTTTTATGGAAGAAAAGTTGTTAGAGAAATCTATTTATGGGATGTAATATATGCATTTGTAATTTGTCTACGTGCTAGGCAAGATATCAATTTAAGTGTGTTATGGCTGAATTTGCCTCAAGGCTAAATTTTCTATCAGTTGATAAGCTTATTTTATGGAGTTAGCTCAAGCGCCCAGATTGAAGGAGAGGGGATGATATGGAATACCAAGAAAGGTAGACAAATTTTGTTGAATATTTCTTTAGTATATTTATATTTATTTTTATTAAGAGTGTTTAGATGAGACACATATGTGCGCAAAATGAATTCCCTTTCCTTTTTTTATTTTTTTTATTTTTATTTTTTTAAGTTTTAATTACAACAATAGGTGTTCATTTCTTGAACCTTAAATATGAACTCATAAAGTTTATACTAATATGATACGTTGGTAAGATTGAAAATAACATTTCCTAGAAGTTTAAACACCCATAATATCTATGAATGAGTTTCAACAGTATTTCACTCGTGGCTTATTATCCAAATTTCATCAAATGTCCACAATTATTAATAGCAATTGTATTAGATATATTTTCCACAATTGAATTTATTTTAAAATTTGTGTTAGGATTTAAGAACCCTCTTAGATGCGGGAAAAAGAATCCCAACAGTTGAATATCACAAGATCGTGTAGTTATCCATGTTAGGATATTGATATCTCGGGTTCATATTGATATACATCATGGATGTATGTGTATATATCTTTTGATAAGATTAAGTATTTAGAAGATAAGAAGAGATCGATCAACGGCGTCATCCGCGAGACGGCCGTCCGGAAGAGCATGTAACTCTTCCAAAGTCTAAACAGTTTGTTAATGTATTTTCTACAAAACTCAAGAGCTGCTTTAACAGAAAGTTCGACAATTCTGAGAGATTTTATTACATCGTTCAAGTCTATAAGGACGCTCGAAAGAGTGAAATTAGAAAGAGGCAGAAGTCAAAGTTACTTGGTCATCAAGTTAGTTTGGTAATAATGCCTCTTACTATTTACTTCTATCTCCCAGAATCATACTATATTTATCTCATGTAATTGTATGATTGTCCTCTATATATGGATGTCCTTATTATGGATGTACTTATTGATATAAACATTCATCCAAAATAGTGAAGATGTAGTCGGCTGAGGCTCTGGATCCGTGGACGTATTCTATCTCCATTATCCATTCATCTGTGTATGTATACTTTCACGAATTCTAACATAGTATCAGAGCAAGGTTTCTCTCTTGATCGTGGTTTATGTGGTGGACGTATTCTATCTCCATTATCCATTGATATGTGTATGTATATTCTCACGAATTCTAACATAGTATCGGAGCAATGTTTCTCTCTTGATCGTGGTCCATGTGGGTTCGTCCCCGTAAATGTTGGGGAATGAGTTGAAGCCGTTCCTTTGCCGTATCCATCATCTCTCTCATTCTTGGCTTTGCTTTGGTAAGCTCCTTCAATCCTAACTATACTGATTTGTGAAGAAACTATTCATATTACAATATTCCCCAAGAAGCAGATGTGGGTTTTGCTTCTCGGAATACAGAGGGCAAACAGGGCAGCTAGCCTTCTCAGCCGTTGTGAGAACTGATATGTAACCGTTCCTCATTGACTACAATATGTAACCGTTCCTCATTGACTACAATAAAACCCCACCATTCCTTTCTCTCTCTTCAATCTCCTTTTCATCCCTCTTCCTTATAGTGGCCTTCACCTCGCCCAAGCTTCTCCAATCAACTGTATAATATCCCCACTGCTCAGGTTCACTAACCGTTGCAGGCCAGGCAGGAAAACCCTTGACCTTTGCAAGAACGAGATCTCAAGGCTTCCATTGATGCTTAGCTGCCTTAGAAGACTTGCCCGCCCCTTTCCTCCGACCAAGAGCCATTATAAAACCCTAGTAAGAGAAACATATCCAAAGCTAGGTCAAAAGGCTTCTTTGCAACCCTAGTGAGAGAAACTCAGCTTGCCGACAACCATCTATGGTGCCCCTACCCAGCAAGAATCTAGCCGAACATCAAGAGATCAGAGACTCTTTCTGGCCATAATTGCCGGCAAACAGCTATTTTGTTTTTCAAAAAACACCTCAGAAGCCTGCAGAGGGTCTTGATGCAAAGAGAGGGTCTTCTAATTAATATCATTTTATTGGTGGGTTTGATTTCAAATCAAGGTTTTCGTATTTTCATACATGAGTTATGATCATTTTTGAAGATGGCGTCGAAAAAAGAAGAAGAAAGGAGATCTAGTTAGGAACATCGAAAGATCGAAAGTTGTTACATTTTGTTAATTTGATATAGTTTGAGATATTATTTTGATGTGGTAAAGGTTGATTTTTGCCTCCAATGATTTTGGATTTTGTTATGGACTTTTGGGTAGAATTTGGAAGTGAGTTTTGTATATCAATCAATTTTGCAATGGACTCGAGAGAAGTTAATGGCTGTGGAGTCCTTGAAATAATATTGGAGATGGTTTTGGTTGAGAGATTGATTTAGTGCACCATTGATCTTGGGGTTTTTCTGTGTGTGTGTGTGAGAGAGAGAATAAATTAGAAAGCATACAAGTTTGTAGGATTCTCTACATTGTTGTCTGCTGCGTGATTGCCTCTTGCTGGGATCGAAGTAGAGAGAGAGTTGCAGTGCTCCAGAGATCGTTGTATAGAGAGAGTTCCAAGTGCATCCTGTTTGATGATCGAATATTTTGATCCTGGTTGATGATCAAGTTTTTCGTTACTTGATCCTGTTTGATGATGAAGTTTTCCGTTACTCCACCTTGTGTGATGATCGAATTTCTCGATCCTGGTTGATCAATTTTTTCGTTATTTGATCATGTTTGATGATGGAGTTTTTCGTTACTCCATCCTGTATAATGATCGAGTTTACTCGATCATGTTTGCTTTAGATGTTTGCTTTAGATAGCCTATGTTTAATGATTGAGTTTTTCGTTACTCAATCCTGTTGGATGATGGAGTTTTTCGAATCCTGTGAGATGATAAAAGTTCTTTATGTTATTTGATCTTGTCTGATGATCAAGTTTTTTGTTAATCGATCTCGTTTGTTTCTGAGGCTTGGATGTTCCTGAGGTCGTATGTTCATGTGAGGCTGCTCGTGAGGCTGTCTGTTCTTGAGGTTTGCCGCTTCTTGTACTTGTAGTTCAAGCAATCTGAAGATCACTACTCGTTTTTGGCACATTAGTATTGTTCAAACTCCAACTGCTTCGTGTCGAAGTATCTTGAGTTTGACGTTTTTGGCACTTTAGTATTGTTCAAACTCCAACTGTTTCGTGTCGAAGTATCTTGAGTTTGAGGGGGAGTGTTAGGATATGAATATCTCGTGTTCATATTGATATACATCATTATAGATGTATGGGTATATATATCTTGATAAGATTAAGTATCTAGAAGATAATAAGAGACCAAAGTCAAAATTACTTGGTCATCAAATTAGTTTAATGATAAGGCCTCCTAATATTTATCTCTATCTCCAAGAATCCTACAATATTTATCTCATGAAATTGTATGATTGTCATTTATATATGGAGGCACTTATTGATGTAAACATTCATCCAAAATAGTGAAGATGTAGCCGGTTGGGCTTTGGATAGATGGATGTAAGGCTTCGGCCTGAACCACATAAATGTTGTGTTCTTTCTTCTTCTATCTCCATTCTCGTATGCTCTCACGAATTCTAGCAATCCAGCCATAATACGAGAAAAAAAGCATGAAACACACACCCCACAAAGACATAGAGATTTAGGTAGTTCACCCCAGAAGGGCTACATCCACATCCATTACGTGGGTCACCCTAGAAGAGCTACATCCACATACATCCATAATACCAAGACAAAAAAAAGCGTGATACACACACATTATAAGAACACAGAGATTTACGTAGTTCACCCCAAAAGGGTTAAGGCATTGCAAACTGAAATCCACTATATCCAATGAAAGTTACATCACATATTTGAGTTACCTCTCTAATCCTCGACATAACCCAGTCGAGCAAATCTTTTTAGACCCAGTCTCCTGATGGGCACCATCGTCGATCTCTCATCTCTATTCTATAGTCTCCTGATGGGCACCATCGTTGATCTCTCATATCTATTCTATAGCTAAACCACTGTTCAAGAAGAGTCCATCTCCATTTCACATCTAAACCACTGTCTAGGAGGAAAACCTTGAGAGCAACAGACACCTATCCAAGAATAAACCATTTCCATTCAAGAACTAAACCACTATCCAAGAGGAGAACCTTGAGAGCAACATAGACTTTCTCTCACTAAAAAGGAAAACCACCCAAAATCTCAATGGGAATGGAGAACCTTGAGAGCATAAAAGGGGTAACCACCCAAAATCTCATGGGAGCCTCTTGTCACACCACCCAAAATCTCGTGGGAGCCTCTTGTAGAATCTCTTGTCTACAAGAAATCAGCCTCGGGGAAACTACCCAAAATCTCCATGGGAACCTCTTGTCTACAAGAAACTAGTCTCTCAAAATCTCCATGGGAACCTCTTGTCTACAAGAAACTAGTATCTCAAAATCTCCATGGGAACCTCTTGTATATAAGAAACTAGTCTTTTAAAATCTCCATGGGAACCTCTTGTCTACAAGAAACTAGTCTCTCAAAATCTCCATGGGAACCTCTTGTCTATAAGAAATCAGCTTCTCAATCTACATGAGGTATATCTGTGGTGTTTCTCTCTAAAGGAAGCTCTCTTCTCTCTAAAGGAGGCATTGCTGAAATTCTCTTCTCTCTAACGGATGCCTTGTCGATGATGATGAAGCCTTCTCTCTCTTTAGAAGAAGAGACCTTTCCTATATGATGACTCAAATAGAGCACAACAATTTTCTGTACTTTCATCCCATATATATATAAAGTTAAGAATCCACAACAAATAGTAATCTTCTTATAGCTGTTACATAAATCTCAAAACCAAGAGATATACCCAAGATTCCTAATTTTTTTTTGGATTTCTACTTTTTTTAAAGAAACTTATCAATATCAATCTCCATCCCACTATAGAATTTTATTATGTGGGTGATTTTAGATATCACCGTATCCAAAAATTCGGGGCATGCGTAAATCTAACCATCACCATCACTC